CAAGAGGTGGAAGCTAACTCCCCTCCTGGTGTGTGGGCTGGTTGTGGACACTCAGCTTCCAAAGAATAGGACAAAGGGGAAAGGATGGTGTACAGTTTCACAGTCAAGGCTATAGCTTTGCTTCTCAGATCACTCACCCTGGGCGAGGGGCGGGGGTTAGCTGCAGTATTTTGAGACATTGGAGCAGCTTTTGGAGAGATCCGTGTGATGAGGAACGGGGCCGCCTGGCAGTTCCAATGGTGAGTGCACCCCATTGGAAGCAGATCCCTCAGCCCCAGTCAGGGCTTCAGGTGATGCAGCCACAGCTCATGTCCTGACTGCAGGCACCTGAGAAGCTCCCTGCTGGAACCGTACAATGAAGCGGCTTCTGAATTCCTGAACCAAAGAAATTTGGAGTGGCTAAGTTTTGTAGTCATTTGTCACGCAGCAGTAGAGAACTCATACCCTTGAGCTTCCAGCCAGAAGTGCTTCATGCGTCCTCTGAGCCCCTGTGGCACTGGTCATCTGTAACAGAACACTAGACAGCTTTGTCTCATAATTAAGATCAAATGCCCTGGAAATTGAGTCCTCACCTAGTCCTTCAGTGTCTAGGCCATGCCTTGCAGGTGCTTCATCGGTTGGGGTTAACTGATTAAACAGTACAAGGGCATCATCTAAGAACACACAAATAGGTACCTTTTCCCACAAAAGATTTTTTGATTGCCAGTTTACATGAATAACAGCGAGTAAACTGGATTGGAGGGTCATTCGGGAGAGCCTCCGTCTGTAAGCCACAGAGCCACGGTTAGAGCCGGAAACAAATGGGCTTTCTGTGGACACCAGAGGCAGTGTACTTGTGTCCCTGGGTACCCGGTAATGAAGACGAGGGAAGGGCCTGAGGCAGGGGCTGAGGGAAGCCCTCAGGGAAGAAAGGAATGCCAGAGCTTCTGCTGTGGTGTCAAAGCCTTAAAACCTATTGCTGGGTAACAAGTCACTCCAAAAATAATTTATAGTTGTTACAGAAAACTTAAAAAATACTGAAAAGAAAAAAGCAAAAAATCCTTAACCTGTAACTTATTTTGGCGTTTATCCTTCAAGTTATTATTTTTTTGTCTGGATGACTGGTGTGTATATGCACACACAGACCTATTTGTATCAATACCAACATACCTATGCGTATCTATGTATTTTATACCTGTATATTGATATCTATTTGTATATATCATAGAGGGGATACACACACAAACAGGTTTTTTATATCTAATCGAAAAAAAAATGAGATCACTTAAATTCCATTTGTATTACTTAGCAGTGCATCTTGAATCTTTTTTTTATTAAAATTTTTTTTATTTTAGAGAGGGTAAGTGGGGAGGAGGGGCAGATATATGATTTGTAAATATTTCTCCTATTTTGTGAATTTGTCTTTTCACTTGATAGTGTCTATTGAATTTAATTTTGGTGAAATTAAATTAAATCTAAATTATTGGTTGTTTTTGTTGTCATTGTTGCTTATGCTTTGGGTGTCATAGCTAAGGGTCCACTGTCTTATGCAGTGTCACGGAGACCCACTCCTATGTTTTCTTCTTCTAAGAGTTTTATTTTATTTAAATATTTAAAAAAAATTTTAATGTTTTATTTATTTCTGAGAGAGAGAGAGACAGAGAGAGAGAGCGTGAGCAGGTGAGGGTCAGAAAGAGAGGGAGGCACAGAATCTGAAACAGGCTCCAGGCTCTGAGCTGTTAGCACAGAGCTGGACGCAGGGCTTGAACTCATGAACCGCGAGATCATGACCTGAGCCGAAATCAGACATTCAACTGACTGAAGCACACGGGCATCCCTGCTTTTAGGAGTTTTATAATGTTAGCTCTTACATTTAAGATGTTGATTCATTTTCAGTTCATTTTTGTGGATGGTGGGATCTAAGGATCCAGCCTCATTCTTTTGCACATGGCTGTCCAGTTTTCCCAGCATGATTTGTTGAAAAGACCACATTGAATCGTCTTGGCGCCCTTGTTGGAGACTGATCGCCACACATCTATGGATTTGTTTCTGAATCATAGCTTTTATTTCACGGACCTGTAGGTCTAGCCTGTATCAGTACCACATTGTCTTAGTTGCTTTTGCTTCACAGTAAGTTTAAAATTGGGAAGTCTGAGTCTTCCAACGTTCTTCTTTTGGCTGTTCTGGGCCCCTTGACTTTCAGTGTCAATTTTAGGATCACTTTTCAATTTCTACAAAGGATTCAGCTAGGATTTAGATGGAGATTGCGTTGAATCTGTAGATCAGTTTGGAGGGTATAGATCTCTTAGGCATATCAACCCTTCTAGTAGTGATCATGGGATTTATCTCCATTTGTTTATAACTTCTTTCTTTTCTATCATCAATGTTTTGTGCTTTTCCAGAGTGTAAGTTTTTCTTTTCTTTTGTTAAATTTACATCTAAGTATTTTATTCTCTTTGATGCTATTATAATTGGAGTTCTTATTTTCATTGTCCATTGATAGTATATAGCAAAACAATTTATTTTTGTATGTTGATCTTGTGTTTTGCATCCTGAACTCATTTATTATATTATTTTTAATAGATTTTATTTAGTGAATTTCTTATTTCTCTATATAAGATCATGTGAATGGAGAGAGTTTCACTTCTTTCCAGTTTGGATACCTTTTATATAGCTTTTGTGTGTGTGTATGTGTGTGTGTTTTTTTCTTTTGCTCAACTGTTCTGGCTAAAACATCTAGTACGTTGATAAACAGAAATGATGACAGTGGATATTCTGGTCTTATTCCTTCTTTTACGGACAAAGTATCTAGTTTTCCATTATTAAGAATATTATTACCTGTGATTTTTTTTTAAATAAATGTGCTTTATCATGTTGAGGAATTTCCCTTCTGTCTAGTTTGGTGTGTGTGTGTGTGTGTGTGTGTGTGTGTGTGTGTGTGTGTTTTAATTTTAATGAAGAAAGGGTTTTGAATTTTGTCAAATGCTTTCTCTATGTCTTTTGAGTTGATAATATGGCTTTTGTTTTTATTCTATTCCTCTGGTTTTTATATTCATTGATTTTTGGATATTAAACCAACTTTATACTACTAGAATAAGTCCCACCCAGTCATGATGTATAATTCTTTTTATAAGGAGCCGGATTTGGTTTGCTAGTATTTTTTAGAGTTTTGGTGACTCTACTCATGAGCTGTATTGGTCTGTAGTTTTCTTGTGATGACTTTGATTTTGGTGTCAGGGTAACACTAGGCTCCTAGAATAAGTTGGGAAGTGTTCCCTCTCCTATTTTAAGGGTTTCTGAGGAATTAGTATTAATTCGTCTTTAACGGCAGGATTTGCAGCTGAAGCCGTCTGGACCTGGGCTTTTCTTTGTGTAGCTTTTTCATTACTAATTCCATTTCTTTACTTATGATAGATATTTTTAGATTTGCCATTTCTGTGAGTCAATTTGGGTAGTTTGTGTATTGCTCAGAACTGTCCATTTCATCAAAGTTATTTAATGTATTGACGCCTAGTATTCATGGTATTTGAACGTCGCTCATCATAACGAAACAGTGGCGTGGTGAACTTCCACCCTCGTCTTCCCACGGAAGCGCGTTCACAGCACAGATTCCTAGAAGACCAGTCGCTGGGTCAGAAGTCTGTGTGTGCAAATGTTGACGGTTTCTGTCCTTTCATCCTCTTCCTGCTCATCTTTCTAGCCGTATTGATTTGTATATGTTCTTTCTGTCCAGGAATCTTGGTCTCCCGGAGGCTGGAGCTAGTAAGGATGCACAGTCAGTGGGGAGGATGCGCTTGGGAGTTGCACGTTTCACGGCTCCTTCTGGTCAGGGGTGCTGATGTGGGTGCCTGAAGCTTGTCCTCCACTCTGTATATTGACACGTGGGGTTTCCGGAGCCTGGAGCCTGAACTGCTGGTGGGTCAGAGACCGTTGCCCCTGACAGGCAAGCTTTGGTCTGGAACAGGTCAGATGAAGCCAGGTGACTCCTCCAGGGTCCTTTCCGCGGTGGTTCTCTTGGAATTCTGAGGGCAGAGGGGCTCCAGGTGATTCCGGCCAAGGAAGGGAGGGATGCCCTACCTCTGTGTGAAGGAGTGACAAGACATCCTCATTGTTCATTATCACTGCCTTCTTTTCTTTCCAGTTCATCTGAGGACTGTATTCTGGGTGCTCATTAACTCACAGCTTGCCAGTGCCCCGACGTGGGCAGTGATGTTGTGACAAGACAGTGTAGCTATTTTTATGGACGGGAAGCTGCTGAGAGCTCTCTGCACGCGTTTTGTTAGGCCAGAGCTTTTAGCCCCTCACCGCCTGTTTCCACTTCCTGTTTCTTCTTTTTGCCTTTACCTGGAATTTGCAAGGGTGGCAGCAAAGCAGGTTAAAAATTTGGGTTTACATAGTTCGAGATTGTTAAAACAATCTACCCAGGTCCCTGGCGGCTGCAGTTTGGTGGTTTTCAGGCTTTGATCACAAGCTCCAGGGTCCCAAGGAGCTGCTTTGGGGGCAGGGGACGGGGGCAGGCACATGAGGAGCTCAAGCCCCCATGGCCATCCTGGCAGCCGGTTTTCTGTGTTGTTCTCAGCGAGATTTTGTATGAGGGCCCGGGAGGGCTGTGTTGCCACAAAAACTGGGACACTACTTGTGTTGGACTCCTTGGCTCCACTGTGGGGTTGAAAACATTCCAAACACCACTCCTTCTGGAGGCTGCATCCCCGGGCTGACAGGTGCTTTAGGGAACTTGGCTTTTCCCAGGGGCCCCACAGGGCTCCTCTCTCTTGACAGAGCCTGAGTGGCCGCTCTCCCCAGGGCCATTTGCCAGCCTGGGCGTGTTTCGTTTTCTTTTTTCTTTTGTTGTATGGGGTATTCTGGCCCTCCAGCCCTGCAGGGGCAAAATCAAATTACCTTCTCTCTTGATCCAAATGACTCTTGTCCCCCGGGAAGCCCTGGGCTAAGTTTGCAGACAGACGGTGAGGAGGCTTTCTCAGCAGACCTCCTGACTGTTGTATCTTCTTTGTGTCTTTCAGTCGGCGGAGTTCTTCGAGATGCTGGAGAAAATGCAGGTGAGCGTCCCCAAAGTGGGGAAGCCAAGCCGTGGGTGGCGGGTATGCTTGCTGCCCTGACCTTGGGGGATACGACACCAGGCAGAACTTGGGGGCCTTGGAGGGAAGGGAAGAGAGAACTCACAACCCCTGGGCTGAACTACCTAAGGCAGGAGGATTCTGGGAAACTACTGCCTGAAGAAAGAACCCCTCTGGCAGAGCAGATGCACATACAGATGTGGGGAGGGCTTGAAAGGGTCCATAGTTCCTGGAATGGGGTGGGAAAGAAGTCGTAAAAAGAAAGCCCCTTCCTACGGGTGCATCTTGAATCTGGGAGGCTGAGCCAAGAGTGAGAGACCCACCCGAGATCAAACCCTGACCGTTGAACTCTCGCTAGCACAAGTTCCTTCCTTTCTCTGAGCCTCCCGGCTCCTGTTTTCTGTCTGTTCACAGCCCTGTTTTCACCTCTCTCTGACACCAAATGTGTGGTTGTTTTTCCCCCCACCAAACAATTCTGTGACAACAGCTGGGTGTCCTGCAGTTCCGCTCCGTTCTGACACTGTCTACCAGAGAGAGTGTCAGATCCCACAGGGCGCGGGCTCTGTCCCGCAGGCCTGTCCCTCCCCGCTTCAGATGCCTGTCGTCGCCTATGCTTCTGACCAACAGGCTATAAATTTGAGGGTCCCATGATCGCCTGCTCTGGTTCTGTTAATTTGCTAGAGTGGCTTAGAGAACTCAGAACAGTTTGCTTACTAGATTATCAATTTATTATAAAGGCGTATAGCCCAGGAAGAGCCGGATGAGAGTTGCGGAGGGCACCGTATGTGGGAAGGTGGTAAGAGCCTCCATGTCCTCTGGGTGTACCATTCTCCCAGCACGGCCATGTACTCACCAACCCAGAAGCTCTCTGACCCATCATTTGGTTTCTTACAGAGGCTTCATTACTTAGGCATGATTGATTAAACCATTGGCTACTGGAGATTGATTCAAGTTCTAGCCCCTCTCCCCTCTTGCGAGGTTGGAGGAGTGGGACTGAAGGTTTGGACCCTTTAATCGTGGTTGGTTCTCCTGGCAACCAGCTCCATCCTTAGGGGTGTCCCAAAAGTCACCTCACTGACAAACTTATGAATAACCTTCTGGTTTTCCTTTTACCTTTATGGCTCTGGAGCTGCTTCAGGAACCAAGGACAAAAGACCAAATATTGTAACAAAAGATGCTCCCAAATGCTCCCATTGCTCTCATCACTTAGGAGATTCAACAGATTTTAGGAGTTCTGTGCCAGGAATGGGTGAAGACCAAAATATTTATTACTATAAATCATGGCACAGCCCTTAGAAATATTAAAGAAATACCCACACACTCACAGGTTGTTGGGATGAAATAAAATAATGTATGTAAATACTTGATAAGCATTGCATAAAAAAATCAGTGTTCAAAATGGATTTGGGGGGCCTTTATAATTACTCCTCACCAAGGGGCCAGGGCTCACAGGTAAGAACTGGTGCCCTGGGGACTGGGGGGAGGGGGGGACATCCAGAAGGCTTAGCTGATATGGGTGGGAAGAAGATGCTGACAACAGCACATATATTTATTTATTTTTTTTTTAATTTTTTTTTAAATGTTTTATTTATTTATTTCGAGGAGAGAGAGAGAGAGAGACAGCATGAGCAGGGGAGGGTCAGAGAGAGAGGGAGTGACAGACTCTGAAACAGGCTCCAGGCTCTGAGCTGGCAGTCAGCACAGAGCCCGACGCGGGGCTCGAACCCACGAACCGCGAGATCATGACCTGAGCGAAAGTCGGACGCTTAACCGACTAAGCCACCCGGGCGCCCCAATATATTTAAAAATTAAAGAATTTATTATGTGTATTGATTTTTGAGAGGGAGAGAGAGATAGAGCATGAGCAAGGAAGGGGCAGAGAGAGAGGGAGACACAGAAGCAGAAGCAGTCTCCAGGATCTGAGCTGTCAGCACAGAGCCCGATGTGGGGCTCAAAACCATGAACCATGAGATCATGACCTGAGTTAAAGTCAGACACTTAACCGACTGAGTCACTCAGGCGCCCCTAAAATTTTTTTAAAAAATGTTTATTTTTGAGAGAGAGAGAGAGAGCAAGCACGAGTGGGGGAGGGGCAGAGAGAGAGGGTGACAGAGGATCCGAAGTGGGCTCTGTGCTAACAGCAAAGAGTCTGATGCGGGGCTTATAACTTACAAACGAGCCATGAGATCATGACCTGAGCCAAAGTTGGATTATCCAACTGAGTCGCCCAGGCGCCCCAGTAGCCTATCTGTTTTAAGCACTTTTCTTGTCTCAGACAGTAACAAGTGTTGGCTAGTTTCTTCCTGATAAAGTCCACAGGAAGTAGCTATATTATTATCATTATCCCCTTTTCACAGGTGAGAAAACTGAGGCACAGAGATCTTACTTAAAGCACTCAAGGGTTGTGGCTAGTAAGTAGCTTCAGAGCCAGAAGGCTTAGCCATTATGTTATGATGCTTTCTACCCTAAGTAGATGCTACAGGCTGAAGGAAGGAAGACTTCGTGGTAATGGTGTGGAAGTTCTAGTGGAGAGGCAGTTAAGGTGTCACTGCGGCCCAGCGATGCGGGTGGAGCCGCTGGGGTGCTCACAGGAAAGCCACGTCTCCCTAACGATGGGGCAGGGGAGGGACCGTTTGAGGGCAAAATATTGTTAATGGTTGTGTCATTATCACCTGCAAGTTATTAAGATCCTCCTCTGTGCCCAGCAGTGTGTGCACTGCAAACAAATTTTGTACACATTACGGGAGCTTACAGTCGGGCTGTGGAAACGGGGATGGCACGCGCCTTGGCAGCGAGGGGTGGGAGGCCGTGTATAATCACGTGCCCTGCTGCCTGGAGTAAAGCTGCGATTTTCACCAGAGCCCGTGAAATCCCAGCACTCTGGGAAGCCCTCAGGGAAATCCCCTGCCGCTCACCCTGCCTTCTCTTCGTTTGTCCCCACAATCCAGCCATCCCTCCCTCACCCGCAGCTGGAGGCCCCCGCCTTCCCCGCAAAGGGCTCTCTGAGCACACAATTCAGCCCCACCTAACTTGCCTCCTGCTTGTCTGTCTTTTCTGCTTCCAGGCTTCTGGGCTTGACTTCTCAACTAGATTGGGACCCTCTTGAGGGCAGAGGTCTGGTTTTGATGCTCCCTCTGTATGTTTGTGGGAGCAGACACCCAAGGGTTTGTTTGCCCACCTATCTCCACTGGGACAGCCCGGGGCTGAAATCAAACTTCCTGGGGTTTAGGTCCCTACCATGTGCCCGCTGGGCCCTGGCCTCCAGGGGGCCCACAGTTCCCAGCTCCTCCGTATGTACAAAACTCGCGTGTAGGGAAATGGTGGCATGGTGGGGCCAGATCCTGTCCTTGGGCGTGGGTGCTACCTCTTCTCACACTGTGGGTGTGGAGATTGACTTCCGAGCTGTCAAATGCCCAGGGCACTCTACGAGTCGTGGAGAGCTGAAACTCTGATCTGGGACTCCAGATCCCCCACCCCCCCAACCTGAGAGTGGAGGAACTGGAAGAAGGGCACAATCCCTATGAAGCAACCGGGTCTGAGTACACAAGCTCTATTAGGTCCATTTTGTCCTGGGTTCGAATTTTAACCCTGGCGCTTTATAGCTAAGTGTCCTTGGTCAAGTCACTCTGTCTGATCCTTGATTTCTTCATGGTGGGGGAAAAGGGGGGTTAATGATAATACAATTGCAAGGGCAGATACATGGAAAGGAGAGGAGAGGGCCCAGAGCTGGGTGATGGCTCTGTCATCGGGGAGGGGAGGAGTGGGGAGGAGGTTTGCTTTCCTGCCCAGGGCTGTTCCCAGGTAGGGGTGACTAATGCAGGACAAACAAAACAAACTTCTGACATCACCCCCCCTCCCCATCTGCCCAGTTTGCCTCCATGGACAGGGTCTACAGGGCCACCCAGGTGGTTTTCTCCCTGTGGGGGGAGAGGAGCACCTGTCCAGTGGGAGGGGTCCTCCCACACCCTCCTGAGCAATGCTGCAGGGTGACTCAGCCCGGAGAAGTCCGGAGAAGCCGAAGTCTAAATCCAGCCAGTGAGCAGGGGCCCTGGGCTCCAAGGCCTATGGGATATGATTGTGCGCCTAGAGAGACAGCCTGGCTTCAAATCCAGCCCTGCCACTCACTAGCTGTGCAACAGCAGAAGCAGCCACCTCCCTGTGCCTCAGTTTCCCTTTGGTATAAAGATGCTGAGGGCTTCAAAGGCGACAACCGTGGGAGGACACTGAGGAAGATTAAAATCCCCCTGTGTTATGCTATGATTAGGGCAATCTTCTCTCCAGAGAGGACCTCTCTCCTAGTTATCCCATCATCTCATACCCTTATTTAATTTATTCAGTCTAACTTAATATGTGCTCCCCTCTTGAAAAAAACCCAGTGAAGTCAGATCTTGACCATAGGACCCCTGGACAAGGCACTGCTTCCCAGAAATGAATGTGCATCAGGCCACCTGCCTGACACCTGGGGGTCTCTTGCCCAAGGTGAGGGGGCAGCTGTGGTGGCGCCAGGTCCAGAGTGCTGGCCTTGCCACCGTTCAGACGTGGGTTCCCATCCTTGCCCCGTACCTACCGGTTCTAAGAGTCTGGCAGAGAGATTTCAGTGCCGGCACGTTAATGCTGCCTGGGGATGACGGTACTAACAGGCAAACCAGTCACTCTTTCCAGGGTGTAGCCAACATCATCAACATTTAACCTTTACCACACTGGTAGCTGCTATTCCCGTTCGGGTTTTACAGTTGGGAACACGGTGCCACAGAAGTTTTGTGACTTGCCCAAGGCCCTGAGTGCCAGTATTGGGATTTGAACCCTGCTGATCTGGTTCGAGTCTATGCTTTTAGTTGCCTGCCCTACCGCCTTACTTGGAGCTGCTGTGGCGACTGAGTGTGACAAGGTGTGTGATGTGTAAGGACCAGGTACACACCAGCTGTTGCTTTATTGCCAGCCTCAGCAAGGCAGGTGCTTGCCAGTCTCCACTTGGCCCTTTTTTTTGTGATCGTTGCTTTTTCATGAATCCTCTTTTCCTTGTTTCCATAGGGGATCAAGCTTGAAGAGCAGAAGCCCGGACCCCAGAAGAACAAGGTGGGCTGTGTGGACGAGGTGACAGCCCTGTGGGCCTGAGAGGGGGACAGCCAGCGTGCTGGGGTCTCCTGTCTTCCACCTGACTTCCACCAAGAGCTACTTAAGTGGCTGCGCCCGGGTTGACTGGTGCATGGTGGGCAGTAAAGGGGCTTCAGCTCCATGCCTGTAGGGAAGCTTTAGAGGGGGTGTGGTGGAGGCTTTCAGTGAGACCTACGGCTTGTGACTCAGCCTAGTTCTTCTGTACCTGCTCTTGCAAAAGAACCACACGTGGCATTTAGGGGTATCAGGCTCTGGGCTCCAGTGGTCTACAGCTCTCTGCTGCAGTTTCCTTTCCCAAGGCCCAGGGCTGTAGCCCGTCACTTGGAGGTCAGCTCCCTTGCATGGTGGAATCAGGGGCCCATCTTCCTTCATTCATTAGGGGGGAAAGGCATGAAGTTCAGAGCCTTTGTGCAGTCTACCTTCAGCTAGCCAGGTTTGCGTTCGAGTTCTGTCAGTTTGGGGAAGCACTCAATGGAAGCTACATCCCAGAGCCACCTCTCTGCCGTTCCCTTTGATGCCCTCAAAGCTCTTTTTTTTTTTTAATTTTTAATTTATTTTTATTTTTATTTATTTCTAGGAGAGAGAGAAACAGCGTGAGCAGGGGAGGGTCAGAGAGAGAGGGAGACACAGACTCGGAAACAGGCTCCAGGCTCTGAGCTGGCAGTCAGCGCAGAGCCTGACGCGGGGCCCGAACCCACGAACTGCGAGATCATGACCTAAGCGAAAGTCGGACGCTTAACCGACTAAGCCACCCAGGCGCCCCAGATGCCCTCAAAGCTCTTGTGCAGCTTGCCAGGCAGCCCCCACCCCCGACCTGGGAGAGGGGAATGGAAACAGCCGTCATACTTCACGGGTGCCCCCGGGGCTAACGGTCTCCTTGTCTGGTTTGTCTTGCAGGATGACTATATCCCGTATCCCAGCATTGATGAGGTAGGAGCCCCCTGGCCATACAGCAGCCTGTTCTGGGTCTCAGCTCCCGGGTGGGGCTGGGGGAGCTGATCCCGCCCCCCCGCCGCTCTGCCCTATTTGGGAGAGAACCTCAGGCCTGGGACTTCTCCTTTGTGGCCTCCATTTTGCCATGTTTAGCCTGGGGTGCTGATCGAAGCCTTGCAACTCCAGTCCTCCAGGCGAAGCAGCAGATGTTGGGCTCAAATTTGGGGTTTGTGTTACTGTATTTGGCCTCAAATACGGGGGTCTCCACCTTGGAACAGTTCAGAGGTGGGGAGATACCGCCACAGGCGCCCCACCCCTTCCCTCCCGCTGTAGAGCCAGGGTGGGCCGCAGTGCAAGACCTCTCTGCTTCCAGGTTGTGGAGAAGGGAGGCCCGTACCCCCTGATTGTCCTGCCCCAGTTTGGGGGCTACTGGATCGAAGACCCGGAGAACGTGGGGACGCCGACCTCCCTTGGCAGCAGCATCTGTGAGGAGGAGGAAGAGGACAGTCTCAGCCCCAGCACATTTGGCTATAAGCTCGAGTGCAAGGGCGAAGCCAGGGCCTACCGCAGGCACTTCCTAGGGAAGGTGAGGCTGAGGGCCCCTGGGCGAAAATAGCTGCCAGCGCAGGTGGCCGGCCTCGTCCAGCGCCCCTTTCCCCCCGTCTCTTCTCCTTCCTGGTCCTGTCACTGTCCTGCTGTCCTGGCCCGGGAGGTCCGACTGGCTCTGCTGCTGGGCGGGGGCCCGGGGGGTGTGCAGAGGTCAGGAAGGCTCAGTGTGTTGTGTCCTTGGGGACACCACCCCCAGCAGATGTTCTCGCACCTGGGAAGTTGTTTCCGTGCACCTAGTACAGATCCCTCCTGGTGCCCAGCAGGTCCCCTGGGTGATGTGCTGTGAGCCTCTGATTGTTTAAAAGTGACAAAGTTACATTTCTTTAAATACATCCTGCCCTTCAGACTTGCCTGGTTCGAAAGTCCCAAGGGCAGATTCTGGAAGTCTCCAGTCTAAGGCAGTTTTGCAGCGTCTCACAGGAAGGAGGGAGGTGCGTCAGAGCCCCCATCCTAACTTGTTCAAATGCAGATTCCGGGGCCCCACCCTGATATGGCAGGTCTGGGGTGGGCTCCCCGAGCCTGAGAGAGACCCATTGTCCAGAGGAGCCCCCCATGGGTGGAGGAGCCAAAGCTCCTCCTAGCTGTATTCCCACGAACAGTTGGAATCGGCAAGAGCTGCCTCCTGGGTGCAAGGAAGTGGATGCGGGGTCCTGTGGAGAAGAACTTGAGCTTCAGTGCTCAACATGGGCTTGAACGCTGGATCTGTCCCTTACTAGTTGTGTGGCCCTGGGAAGGTACTTAACCTCCCTGGACACCGGTTTACATATCTATGAAATGGAGATGTGATGATGTCATATCCCCCATAAAGTTGTGATCAGGATTTAAGGAGTCAGTGGGTGTTAAGTGCTTAGTCCACACCCAGTGCATCCCGATGACTGGGGAGTTGGAATCTCCTCCTGTGGTCTTTCTCTTTCTCCTCCTTTTACTCCTCCTCCTCCTCCTCCTCCTCCTCTTCATCAATAGTAGCCACAGCATCCTTGCCTTCTTCCTCATTGCTGTGGGACTTCTCGTTTCTGGCGAAGAAGGTGATTTGGGGGGGCCATGTCTGGAAGGTCCCCTACTCTGTTGATATCTGATTTGTCTTTCTAGGATCACCTAAACTTTTACTGCACTGGCAGCAGCTTGGGGAACTTACTCCTGTCCATCAAGTATGAGGAGGCGGAGGGCATTGAGTACCTACGGATCATTCTCAGGTGGGGCTGCTGCACCGCTGGAGGCCACGCCTCTCCTGGCAGGGACCCAGAAATACCAGTCTGACCAGTCTGGTCTGGGTGTGCTGGGGAGAACAGATTGGCTGGAATCCTGGGGCTATGTTGCATTGCTAGGCAAGGAGACTGGGTGTTTATGCCAGCGGCCAACTGTGGGAGTCAGAGTCGTATCCTACTCTCAAGGTCACCTAGATCAAACCCCCACCTGCCTTTCTGCCTTGCTGGGACTGTGGCTTTGAAGAATTTTGGAAGAAAAAGTAGAGATGGCCCTTTCTGCTGATATACAACTCCAAATCAGCCTGGGAGAGGGTTTGCCAGAACACTGCCATCCAGTCGGGGAGATAGATCCCAAAGCCTCTGTGTGCGTGTATGTATGTGTGCATGTGTGTGTGCGCGTGCATGTGTGCGTGTGCATGCGAGGTTCCTTGAGATGGAAAGGTGGTCAGAGCGGGAGCACTGATTTACAACTAAGCTATGGTACCTCTCTCTCTTCAGGGACAGGAGCAAGGACTGGTTTTTGTTTTGTTGAACTAACCTGTTTTGCAAAACTGCCTTTTTACCAGGGAGTCTGATAGGTACCAAGATGCAATGATGGTTGGGTTGTGGTCTGTTTTCTAGAGGCTTATGGTCCAGTAGGAGAAAAAAGCAGAGGATTTTAGTATGTGTCATTGGTATTATTTTAGTGATATGCATAGGATGCTGTAGGAGCACAGAGAGTCTATATCTTATTTGTCTCTGCCCCTGGGGAGCTGGTGGAAAAGCCTGGAAGGCCAAGTGTTAGTGCTTAGCAGAATGCTGTGAACCTGCCAAACTCCCAGTCCATGTTTGTCAAATCTGATTGCAAGTCCTTGATGGTATTTGGAAGGAAGCAGTAACATTTTTTTTTCCTGCCCAAATTTTGAGATAAATATGGGAGGGAGCAGGGGCACATAGTCGTGCTGTGGGAGAGGGGTGTGTGTGGGGGTGGCACAAGGAAGTTGTCAGCACCCATCCAGTCTTGGCTTTTTATTAAGAAAGGAAGCAGTTTCTTTACGGAGGTTCACTTGGCCAGGAATCATATTTGCAAGACAGGGAGAAGTTAACTAAATTGCTAGAGCAGATTTTTTGAGGGAGTAATATGTGGATCCCCAACTCCAAACAGGATTTTGAGCTAGGTGAGTCTCCAAAAAGAAAGTTGTTTTCTTTCTTAATAAAAATCAGACCTAAATTGGGTAGGATTTCTGAGTAAGTTGACAATTGAACACAAGGATCTAACTCCCTTTTTCCAATACCGTATCCTGTTTGAAATGCTGCTTCAGAACTGAAAACATGAGAAAGATGCCAGGAATGCAGCACACACATTGAACATTTTAAAAAATAATCCATGGGGCAGTTAGGACTACAAGGTAGATAGTATTGAGAGTTGAACCCCAGCTCATCTTCCTCACAGAGCAGTTTAGCGTGGGGATATAAGAAATTAGGAATTCTGGGGGAGTCCTGTGCTCTTTAAATGTTTGTTTATTGATTTTGAGAGCAAGAGAGAGAGCGTGAGCAGGGAAAGGGCAGAGAGAGAGAGAGAGAGGGAGAGGGAGAGAATCCCAAGCAGGCTCTGTGCTGTCAGGGCAGGGCCTGACTCTCAGGGCTCAGTCCCACAAACTGTGAGATCATGACCTGAGCTGAAATCAAGAGTCGGGCACTTAACTGACTGAGTCACCCAGGCATCCTGAGTCCTGTACTCATTAGAAGTGAGTAGGAGCCTTGGAACAGTCAGGGGTCTTTCCACATGGAACCACTTTTGTTGTTTTAGGTTAACAGCATTTGAAATCAATCCCCTGGGGAGCCCATGGGCAATCTCAAATGTGGCTTTCTCAAATAGAAAATCAGTGACTGGGGTGGTTGGGAGAAGCCATACATTAGCTAGGAAGTTGGACAATCATTAATCTCACTTGGAGTGATGGCCAGGCCAAATTGAAAACCAGACATAAGAAAATTGGCCCCACAGCTTTAGAAGCTTTACCAGACACAAAGAAAAAATTACGCAGAGGTGAAATTCCCCTGTTGGCAGTGACTCCTGTCCCAGCTTCTTCCTCGTTCTTTGTAGGCTTCTGGATTATTTAATTGATAATTAAAACAACTTAAAACAACTAGGTCTCCAGGCTAAAATCTGAGAAGAGTATTCTGACAGCTTCTGTATGTGCTATGAGAGTAGCCAAGAAGAGTCTATCCACAACTGGAAATGAGTAACAAGCCTGCGTAGATTTCTTTCTTTTTTAAGTTTGGATGTAAAGAAGTAGGGGAGAAAAAAACGCCTTACAGGTTGGTGAAAGGAAATAGTCTGCATCTAAAAAGGCATACCCTAGCATTTAGAAGGTAGGGACTAATTAAATTTTAGAAAGGATTATTGACTATAGAAAGCCAAGTAAAATTTAGATATCTATTAACTTTGTATTTTCAGCAAACTTCCAGAAAAAATAAATCATATGAAAGAAAAACAAAAGATAAAATAAGGCAACAAAATGAGATGAAAAAGTTGCTGGTTAAATTAGAGAAAGAATATAAGAAAACTAAAAACAGCCAAAAAATGACTTTTAAATGATATTAGAAGCAGTAAGGAGAAGAATAGAAGAATCTACTTTGTGGAAAACCCAGTTAGTAGTAATGAGAGGATGCTTTCACATAATTCAGAGGAAAACACAAAAACTCCAGAATGATGAGCAAATTATAATAAATATGGAGGATAGTGAGCAGGAATTAAACTTGTGGATAATTGATGTTCTTAAGCTAATTGAAGACTTAAATCTGCAGATTAAAATGACTCACCCAATATCAGATGAAGTCAATGAAAGGAAACTAATAGCTTGACATGTTTTGATGAAAATGTAATATTCCATGGGTATAAAATCATTGTTAGAATGAAAACACTCCAAAATAAAAGAATATAAAACATTAACATCTGCCAAAAAATAGAATATAAGGGAACATAAATAAATATAAGTCTGAATACATGTAATGTATAATAAATATAAATGAGTTAAATTCCACTATTAAACAGCAAAGATTCTCAGTTTGAGTCATCCCTCCATTGCCCCCTGCCCCCACTAATGGATCAATCAGTGTATCTGTATTTTAATAAAGAAAGTAACTCAGTATATTTAAAAAGAAAAGTGTTGAGAAAAAGGTATATCAAATACAGAAGGGTAGAGTTGGCAATATTAATATGGAAAAGTAGAATTTGAGGCCAAAAAGCAATCAGTGTGACAAAAAGGGCTATTGCCTATTCATTAAAAATAAAGCCTTGTTTAATCAAGGCTTAATATGTGCCAGACTTTCTCTAGGGGTAGGGCTAATGTAAGGAAAAAGCTCATCTCTTATTACCTGGCTACAGAAAACATTCACTACATACGAGGTACTCTTATTCTTGCTTTTCTTCTCACTCATCTTCTTATGGACATGGATTGTTTTAGGCTAGTGAGGGTGATTCAGAAATAGATAGTATGGCAGAACTGAAAGAAGTTTATAAGAGTTTGAATGTGGAGTGTATGTCTGAATGCATATATGTGTGAGTGTGTGTAAGGTTGAGAGGTCATGCTGGAGAGGAAAGAAAAAGCTAAATCATGTATGGACTGTGTCTAGGAACTGAGATTTTATTCTGTGAGCCAAAGGAGAGCTCCTGAAGGGAGAATATCATGATACGATGTGCATTGTAGAATGATCACTGGCTAGATTAAGGGGAATGTCTTGGAGGGAAGCAGGAAGATGAATCAGGAGGCTGCTGTGATGAGTCAAGTGATTATACAGGCCACCAGGTTGCCTAAAGTGAATGCTGCCCCCAGAACTATGCAAACCAAAAACTCTGTTGGAAGCTGAACCAGGGTGCCTTGCACTGAGGATAGAGGGAAATGAGTGGAAGGTTCCAAAACACTCAGGGAAATTGACATTAAGAAAGACAGCTGAAAACATCAACAAATGAGAGCTGGATTTACTGCTGGTAAAATACAAGTAGTGGTACACTTTCAAATGGCTTATATCTGAAAAAGGTAAAGAATAAATAGCATCTATAAATAGGATAATAAATTATGATACAGTCCATGAATGGAAATGAATCAAGAACAGATACACATGGGTGCAAAAAGAAAACAGTTGGAATTATTGGAAATAGAAAAATAGTTGAAATTAAAAAACTCAATACAGGGGAGCCTGGATGGCTAAGTCGGTTAAGTGTCTGACTCTTGATTTTGGCTCAGGTCATGGTCTCGCGGTTTGTGAGATTGAGCCCCGTGTCAGGTTCTGCACTAACAGCTTGGGATTCTCTCTCCCTTTCTCTCTGCCCCTCCCCCACTCGCTCTCATGCTCCCTCTCCCTCTCTCTTTCAAAAATAAATAACCCCCCCAAAAACAAAGTTACCCCCCCACAAACAAAAAACTCAATATATGGGATAAAATCTAGTCTAATATAATCTGTTCAGAATCAGAGAGTGAATCTCTGAATTGGAAGATAGTCTCAAAGAATTCATCCAGAGCACAGCACAGCTCCAGTGATAGGATATATGAAGAAGAAGGAAGACATGTGGATAATAGATGGATAGGTCCCAGCATTTGTCTTAGAGTTTCAGAGGAAAGAGTAGAGAAGCCAGTGGAGAGGAGATATCCAATGAAATAAAGGCTGATAATATTTCAGAACTGAAGAAAGCACACAGCGTGGTGCTGAGTATGACTTTAAGACAAAACAATACTACTGGGCACATTGAAGTGAAACATTTGAACATCAGAGAGAAAGAAAAAAATTTTAAGGCTGCCTAAGGATAAAGACACTCATCTATGAAGTAGTGACAACCAGGCTGTGAGCAGACCTATCAGCCATGGGACAATAGGACAGTATCTTTAAAATGTTGGAGAAAAGAAAGAAAGGGAAGAAGGAAAGGAAGCTTCTTTAAAATTCTATACCCAGAGAAGCTATCCACAAAGCAAAATAAAACTGTTTTCGGACTCCCCCTCAAAGAATTACTAAAGGATATCCTTCAGCCAGAAGCTAAGAGAAACCGAAAGAAAAGATGCAATTAAAAAGTGGCAAGAAATAGGTAAATTGTGTTGATACATTTAATTACCATTGGGGGGAAAAAGTAGTTTTTGAGTGTTTAAAAAGAGGCTTGAACTAAATTAATAAACAAAACTAGGAAAGACAATGAAGAAGGAAGTGTTCAATAGTTACTGTTTCCTCTTCCCTCCTCAGGAGAGAGATAGCAAGGAAGTGTAGAGTTTGTTGGAAAAATGTATAAATGTCTATATTGGAAGTTATAAAAATTCAATCTACAGCTCAAATTAGCAGAGGGATAAAAAGAGAATTAAAAATTTTTAAATTAAACTGAAGGCAGGAAAGGAGGAATTTTAAAAAGGAAAGAAAGCACAGAGTAATAGAAATCACAAAATAACAGAAATCATTCCAAGTACATTAGTAATCACAATAAATATAAATAGACTAAATTAGCATATGAATGTAGCAGACGATCAGATTAGACTAAAAATACAGCTATATTATGTTTCCCCTTTGCCATTTTTAAATTTTTTTTATTATTAAAAAAATTTTGAGGGAGCAATCTTTAGTTTTGAGAGAGAGGCAGAATGCGAGTGGGGAGGAACAGAGAGAAAAGGAGACACAGAATCCGAAGCAGGCTCTAGGCCTCTCTCTCTCTCTCTCTCTTTCTCTTTCTCTCTCTCTCTCTCTCTCCTTTCCTCTTTGCTTGATTGTTTTATTTCTTAAATTCCACATGTGAGTGAAATCATATGGTATTTGTCTTCCTCTGACTTTTTTATACTCTCTAGTTCCATCCATGTTAACTGCAAATGGCAAGATTCCATTCTTTTTTTTATAGCTGAATAATATTCCTCTGTGTGTGTGTGTGTGTGTGTGTGTGCGCGCGTGCACGCCACATCTTCCTTATCCATTCATATATTGATGGACACGGGCTGCTTCCATAATTTGGCCGTTGTAAATAATGCTGCAGTAAAATAGAGGTGCATCCCTTTGAATTAGTGTTTTTGTATTTTTTTTTTTTTTGGGTAAATACCCAGCAATGCGATTATTAGATTATAATAGGTGGTGGCTATATTCTCCTTAAAAATTTTATTACTATTATTTATTTTTTTAGAGAAAGAGTGAGTGAGAGAGAGAGAGTGGGGGAGGGGCAGAGGGAGGAAGGGAGAGAGAGAGAATCTAAGCAGCCTCTGTGCCCGGCATGGAGCCTGACATGAGGCTCAATCTCACAGTGGTAAGATCATGACCTGAGCTGAAATCAAGAGTTGGTTGCCCAGCCAACTGAGCTACCCAGGTGCAGCCCCCCCTTTTTTGAAGTTTATTTTGGAGGGAGAGGGAGAGTACAGAGCTGGACAGGGGGTCATATTCATGAACTGTGAGATGACCTGAGCTGATACCAAGAGTTGGACGCTTACCTGAGCCACCCAGGTGCCCCAAGCTATATTCTTCTTATAAGAGACATACCCAAAGAAAAACAATATCAAAATATTTAAAATAAAGAAATGGAAAAAGATATGCTGGGAAAATGCTAACCAAGAAAAGTGGTGTAGCAACATTAAAATCAGACAAAATAGAATTTCAGGAAAAAAGCATTGGTGGGGATAAAGGGAGTGTGGTCTTTCATAACTTGTCCTGATGTTTCCTGCTGTGTGGAGGGAACATTTCTGTGTAACAGCCCCGGCTTTCTCTGCTTTCTCTGACAGATGAGTTTGGGAACAAGAACTAGACGTGTGTAGCCCTGGTCTTTCCTTTTTCCCCCCGCTCGGAGCTAGCTGCCCTCAGAGTGCTGCTTCTGCTCCTGTGTGCTGAAGGGCCCACCTGGGCAGACTCTTCCAGAGGCTTGCCTCTTGCCCCCACTGCCTGTGACCTGGTGGATAATCCTGGGGGTCATTTAGAAGACTCATTTCATCTTTACACTAAGGCGGGTGGCCTTTATCAGTAACAAAGGAGTTGTTTTGGCTTCCAGCTCCCTTACCCTTAATTTTTTTGTTTCTGAATCTGTTTGTTGCCTGGGCAGAGAAAAGTGCCCTTTACTGGACCCGTGGAGGCCTCAGCCCACATGACGATAAAGAGGACAGTCCACCCAGAAGATCTAACAGTCATGAAGTTGTACTTAGCAATAGAGTCTTCAATTTAGAAAGGCAAAAACTGGGGGCACCTGGGTGACTCAGTCGGTTAAGCATCCAACTTCGGCTCAGGTCACGATCTCATGGTTCGTGGGTTCAAGCCCCACGTCAGGCTCTGTGCTGACAGCTTGCTCAGAGCCTGGAGCCTGCTTTGGATTCTGTATCATCTTCCTCTCTGACCCTCCCCTGCTCATGCTGCCTCTCTCTCTCTCTCTCTCTCAGAAATAAAGTTTTAAAAAATTAAAAAATTAAAAAAAAAAAACCCGATAGGAATATAAGGAATTGCCAAATCCTCAGCTCTAGTGGGAAATTTCAGTAAGATCTTTTACACTCGGAGGGACCAAGCAGACAGCCATTGTAAGATTACAGAAGGTTTGAACAGTACAATTAACAAATCTGATTTTGTAACATACATTCTCGTATTCAACAAAAGAAAAAAAATACATTGTTTTTAAGCCCACATGGAACCTAAAAACTCTCTGTGTATTAAGTTAACAAATGTAAGATAACATACAGATTATGTTCCCTGAATATAAGAAAATTAAGTTAGAAATCAACAATTAAAATACCAAAGGAAAATATCATACATTTAGAAAGTTAAAAGAAAAGAAGAAAATCCTTTAAATAACCCATGGGCTAAAGAGGAAATTGCAACAGAACTGACAAAATATTTAGAACTGAATGACAATGAAAATACTCCCTACCAATGTGTGGGATGCAGTTCAAGTGGTACTTAGAAAAAGATGTATACTTTTAGATGCATTTGTGAAAAAAGAAAAAAGAATAACTGTGTAAGCATGTAAGTCAGGAAGTTAGAAAAAGAATAGTAGGGGGAAAACAATCAAAGAAGATAGGAGGCAGAAAATAAAAAAGACAAGAGCAAGTCCAGGGAAGTAGAAAGCAACAATAAAAAGGAATAGAGACAACAAAACCAAAAGGTATCTCTTTGAAAAGATTAATCAAATTGATACACCCCATCAAGGACTGATTAAAGGTGTAAAGATACAAACAATGTTATGGCAGTGAAGGAAGGGATGCAATTTTAGGTACAGATTAAGTTCTTACCAAAACCCATTGTATATCAATGCATTGGATGGATAATTTTTTTCTCTAAATGTTATGGAGAGAGCATGAGTGAGGGGAGGGGCAGAGAGTGAGAGAGAGAGAGGCAGAGGATCTGAAGCAGACTATGCACTGACAGTAGAGATCCCCATGTGGGGCTTGAACTCATGAACCACGAGATCATGACCTGAGCCAAAGTCAGATGCTCAACCAACTGAGCCACCCAGTGCCCTGTGTCGGATAGATAATTATATAGAAAAACATAAATTGTCAAAATTGACTCAATCAGGAGCAGAAAACTTAAATATTCACCGTTAAATAACTGAATTGAGGGGCACCTGGGTGGCTCAGTTGGTTAAGCGTCCAACTTTGGTTCAGGTCACAATCTCACAGTTCGTGGGTTCGAATCCCACATTGGGTTCTGTGCTGACAGCTAGCTCAGAGCCTGGAAACTGTTTCAGATTCTGTATCTCCCTCTCTCTCTGACTCTCCCGTGCTCACGCTGTCTCTCTCTCTCTCTCTCTTTCAGAAATAAATAAAACGTTAAAAAAAATAACTGAATTGGTAGCCAGAAGTATCCTCCTACGCAAAACCCAGCAAGCCCAGAGATTTCACAGATGAATTTTAGCAAACCTTTAAGGAACAGAAAATCCCTATGGCATACAAACTATTTCAAAGGATCAGAAACTCCTCAGCAGTTTTATGAGGCTGGGATAACACCTTGATATCAAAACCTAAGGGAAGTGCAAAAAAAAAAAAAAAAAAAAAAAGCCAGTGTTGCTATTGATGTGAAAGTCTCAATAGAATATTAACAAATTAAAGTCAGCAGGATATGAAAAAAACAATACATCTTAAGCAAGTGAGTTTTACCCATGGACGGAAAAGATGGCTCAACAGAAATCTAATCTACCAGGTTAACAGATTAAAAACCATATGACTGTCTCAGCAGATGCAGAAAAGCATTCAGTAAAATTCAACACTTTCCTAATGTGCTAAATGAATCAGGGAACAGGCTAAATTTAGAGTCTTACGGTAAATCCCTTTATAAAGCAACTCTCATCCCGTTTATATTTTGAGTAAATCCAGATTTTCAAATCTTAGATTTTCTTTTCATAAGAGGTTTAATCACATGTGAGAATACACGTGTATCCAGAAGCTGTGCCCAGTTCTTTGGGAGAACACAAGCCCCACAACAACCCAAAAAATCATGGTGAACTTGAAGGCGACTATTTGCATTTCCCCTATCTCAGGCAGGTTCTTTAAGTTTCCTCCTCCTCCTCCACGATAATTACAAAATTCCATTTTCTCACCATTTGAGTGTGGCACCTAACTCATGGCCTGGGTGAAATGCGGCAGATCTGACTGCAGGGAGACACAGAGTGAGTGTGCTGTGTGTCTTGTGCCTTGTGTGATCTCAGGCGCCATCTCAAGCCCCTTTCCCAGTGGACTCCCTTTCTTGCGGACACGCTTTTCTCACCCTCATTCACGTGTGCAGGTCCAAAGTGAAGACCGTGCATGAGCGGATCCCCTTGGCTGGACTGAGCAAGTTGCCCAGCGTCCCTCAGATTGCAAAGGTAAAAACGAACCCCTATGAGAAGGTGGCTTCCTCTTTCAGCCTGGGGTTGAGGTGGGACTGCAGGCTTGTCTGGAGATGGCTCTGCCCTTAGAGAGGTGAAGGCCACTATACTCTTTGGGCCTTGACTGCATGGATGGGGTGGGGAGGGCTGTTGACAGATGCCCTCAGCTTCCCTACAACCTCCCCGTCTCATCCTCACAGCTGAGGCTGCTCATGGTCTCTGCCCCCAAGGTTGCAGCCAGTTCAGGGGGCCAGAGAGATGGAAAGACAGGGCTGGCTATGGAGAGTGCTGTAGCACTCGAGAGGAGGAAGGGGTGGGATGGCCGGGGAGCCTTCCTAGCAGAGGAGAGATGGGCTGGAGGATGGCCGGACTGTCGGTCCAGACAGAGGACCCCCTCGAGGAAGGAGCCGTTCATCAGCTGGTGGAGGGACCCATGTCACTGTTCTGAGATAATGGGAACTTGAGAACTGAGTCGGCAAAGTGGGCTGACAAGGATGGTCAGTTGGGTTGGGTTGGGTTGGGTTGGGTTGGGTTGGACCCACCCATTGGGAATGGAAATGTCAAGCAGAATTGTGCCGAATGCCTTCTGTGTCCTCACTTCACCAGGAAACCTCGGGAAGGTTAGTCAACTTTCTTAGCTGCACGTTAGGGAGCAGAGCCAGGACTCAACCCCAGGCCTTCTGACCTTGCAGGTCCTACCCTCTTGTGCCCTTCCTCTTGGTGGGTGGAGGAGCCCACACGTTTTCAGTGGAAGTGGCCCCTGAACTATGTGTCTCTCTCTTCTCACTTAGGCTTTCTGTGATGATGCAGTGGGGCTGAAATTCAATGCTGTCCTGTACCCCAAGGTGAGGATCTTCACCTCCTCCCCCTACCCAGGGCTCTAGAGCTCGGCACGGATTTGCACACCTTTGGCTCTGTGGGATGTTCTCTGCATCTTGGTGGGGTTTTGTTGGGGGGGCCTCCAGTAAACCTCCGTGTCTCCTGCTCTCCCTGCCCACCCCTTTGCATAATGGTGGAACGTGTCATCAGCCATGCCTGGGTAGAGACCCACCTGAATCGGTCCCCATCTGTTGTGGAGGTGATAGAGCTCTCCAGGTTACACTGGTCCTGCTTCCCGGAGGCCAGTACTGAGGTGGGGACTGATTCCACCTATAGCTGGGGGGCTAGCACACGTCTGGTCTGCCATCACGGAGGTTGAGGGTGGCAGATGGCAGACCCCCATTAAGAAATAAAAGGCCAGATCATGACTCCCCATTGCCAGTGTTCCTGCAGCTCCGAGGCCTTACAAGCCCCTGCCAAGCCCTAGTTAATAAACTGGCTGGTTCTCTGTTATCAGTTTCCTCAGGATTGGCCTGATCTTGACCCCAGTTATGATGTGGGAATGGGGGTGGGCAGAGGAGCAATAATAACTTAACAAATCAACAAACCCACTCAAGAACAATTATGGCATGACAGGACTTAAATCACTCACGGACAGTGGATTGCTTTAAATTGGCCACAGGAAGAGAGCCAGCGCGCTGAGCGCCTCCTCACGGGCCTGCAGGGCCTGGGAGCGGAAACAGAGCTGCCTGCGCGCAGAGCGCCGACTCTGGGGCAGCTGAGGCTTGCTGGGGCTGGTTCAGTCCCTTCCCCGAGTCCCACTTCTGATAGCTAGGGACCGTGAGGTGAGAAGTTGGTGGGGAAGAAGAGGCCCTATCCTGGCTGAGACATCCAGAACCCCCTGGAACAAAGGCCTCGTATGTGCACGGTTGGGCTCGACGCCGTTTATCCCTGTGCAGCGGCAGAGCTGATGGCAGGGTCCTCTCCTGCCCGGAGAACATGCCAAGCCCTTCTTTCAGACACCTCTTGTTAGCCTGGGCATCTGTAGGCACTTACCAGTAATAAGCCGCCCTCCACTGAACATTTTCTGTCCTTCAGATTGCTCTCCCCCTTGGGGCGCCTGGGTGGCTTAGTCGGTTGAGCGTCCGACTTTCGCTTAGGTCATGATCTCGCAGTTCGTGGGTTCGGGCCCCGCGTCGGGCTCCGTGCTGACTGCCAGCTGAGAGCCTGGAGCCTATTTCAGTCTGTGACTCCCTCTCTCTCTGACCCTCCCGTGCTCACACTGTCTCTCTCTCTCTCTCCTAGAAATAAATAAAACAAAAACAAAACAAAACAGATTGCTCTCCCCCTTATAATTAAAGCTGAGTTAGTGAGATATAACCAAACATGAAAACTACAAGTTTGGCAATTTTTGTCATCAAATCCCATGCGCTGAGAGAACCCAGTGACAGTCATCTGCGCGGTTCTCTCTGTAACTTGGAAAGCCTCGGGCTCTGGTGATAATGGAAGAGCGGCTGTGTTTCCATGTTTTCTGTATTTGAAGGACTGGTTGGTCCGGCCGCGATGTTCATCTGGCCGAGATGTGTGTGCGTGTTTAACATCCACTGAGCCGAGAACGTTCCTTGGAAGGTATCCATGGCTGGATGCCTCTCCCTGGCACGACAGCCGCTCTGCACCTTTGGCTCATTCCACGCGGGAGTGGGGGCTCCCTCGGGTTGGGCAGTGGTGCTGTCCCAGGGGGAGCGGTGAAGCGTCCCTTCCCTCAGGCAGCTGAGAGCCTCACACGGCTCACATATTCTAGCCAACAGTCATGCCTCGTTCTTCCTGTCGTATAACACGTGGTCAGGTCCCCCCTTTTTACTGCAGAGACTATCGCAGTAACACCCAAATTTCCCCTTTCCTAATAAGCTGGTTCAGCTGTAATCTGTCTGGAGGGTTACACTGATGGTGATGATGATGATGGTGATGATGGTGATGATGGTGATAGTGATGCTGCTCTGTGCTCAGCACTTTATGTGCCTGATCTGATTGAATCTTAACAACCACACATCTCCATTTAATGGAGGAGGAAACTGAGGCCCAGAGAAGTAAAGTGGCACACTCAGGGCTATACAGCTAAAAGCAGCGGATTCAAGTTCTGGAGTTTCATGTTTCTGAGCCCTGGACACCAACTCTGAAGCAAAATAGAAAATTAAATAGAACCAGTGCTCAGGGTTCTTTTATTTTATTCCCCCTCCCCCTTGCATATGGATTAGGGCCATATGCCCCTCCTTAGAGACCTCTCATTTGGTGGGTAGGGGGGTTTGAAGTCTGAGCATAAGCGGTGCCTTGCCCAAAATCATACTGCTGAGCAGAGGTGGAAGTAGAGCCAGCGCCATACTCACTGACCAGTCCCAGGGTCCTGGCTTCACCTTTTACACCCCAACGAAGGCACTGGAGTAAGTCCGTTGCTTGGGCCCTGCTGGGCTCCCTGTGTGCCCAGACCTTGGCCGGCAGATCTGGGTGGGAATGGAGTGGGAATCCAGAAGTTTGGCCCTCGTGGGGGGATGCCCGGGTCTGGGAATGAGCAGAAACCTCTGGCTGCCTCCCTCCATATGCACGGATGTTACACCGCAGGGCCGGGGGTGGGGGGGGCGCATATTCTCCACCAAAATGGGTGCTTCCCTATCTGTTTACCTCCAAATTAGTAAATAACCTGACTTTTTCTCTCCACGCTTTCCCAGGCCTCCCAAATGATTGTGTCCTATGATGAGCACGATGTCAACAACACATTCAAATTTGGGGTCATTTATCAAAAAGCCAGGCAGGTAAGCACCACGAATCTGAAGCGGTCACCAGATGCCGTGGTTTCCCCGCGGGACTCTTCACCTCCCTCAGGCACAGGAGCCCTGCCTCAGGGTCTGACATGGGCTGAACACGGCAGCCACCGTTCACGTGGGAGTTAGGCTGGAGGCGACAGAATCAAGGCGGCTGCTCCTCACCAGCAGGCCTGCAGGTCTTTAAGCAGCAGTAAAGTTTTCTGTACAGTAAATTCGAATTCTTCCTGGCAGCCTCAACTGGGGGCTGTTGCCGCAGGAAAAATCAGACTGGGCAGAGGGAACAGATCAACACAAGCTGCTTTCTCCTTGCCTGTCCTCCTAGCTGGGAGTTCGTTTTCTGTCCCCGAACTTCCCTAGGTTGCTGGAGCACGGCGGGCCCCTCTTCCCAGCGTGGAGTTTAGCCGTGTCCTGCTGGCTGCTGGAGACCAGCTGCGGTGCAAGTATTTACACCATGGAAATGGGCAAACCCGGGCTTCCGCTTTCCCTCTGTCGAAAGGCGGTTGTTGAAAAATATATCAGTGCACCGCTGCTCATCCTCCTCTGTCTCTTGTAGAACTTAGATGCTGCCTGGGGGTTAGTTGGTCAGAGTGCTTCTCAAAGTGTGTTCCGTGGGACACTAATCTGTGAGGTACTCTGTGAACTAATGACTCGTGGGTGTGGGGCAGTTTTGTGGGAACATTTTACAATTTTATAAATTTATAAGGTCAAGAACTCTTATAACTGTTGAACTCAGTGTTTCCCATACTGATCTGACCACAGACTTCCCACCTTACGTACGGTGAACATCTGTTAACATGCTGAGAAGTGGTCTGCGGAACACACCCATCTTTCCTCACTTAGGTTGTATCTTTCGAGGGTTCCACACCTATTTCATCTTTCTATCATCCAAGAGCCTAGTGTGGTGATTTTATAGAAATACACTCATAGTTTTTTGCTGTGTGAATTAATGGATAAAAGTTTTGATGCTCTTATGGTAGGTTGATAGGATCTTTTTCAGTATTATCTGTGGGGCTTTTGTTTGTTTGTTTTGTGTGATGATGTCTTTCTTGCCTAGATGATAGCTGACTTCCTTGTGTGAGGACATTAGACCACAAGAGACATGTGTTTGCTTAAAAACATTCTAATTAAGTGAAGAGTTTAGGAGCCGAAAGGCCAACACAGATGAATCTTATAATTGAAGGGAGATTATTCAGGTAGCTGCTCTAATTATTTTTCCATATTGCATATTTATTTTGTACAGCTCTGCTAATACAACCCCCCTAATTAAAGTTCTTTGCTTGTGAAATTTGCCGTAGCAGATCTCATCAGGTGATTACAATCCAGGGTTCCAGCAAAATTGTAATTACCGAACATTAACCGTCCACCTCTGAAAAGGGGTCTGCGTGTTGTGTTTTTACCTGATGCTGCTGAGCCAAGGTGGAGGCACGTAGGGAGATAAAAGTCTTTGTTTTTTCTTTTTTCTTTTTTTTTTTTAATTTTTTTAAATGTTTTATTTATTTCTAGGAGAGAGAGAGAGAGAAAGAGACAGTGTGAGCAGGGGAGGGCCAGAGAAAGAGGGAGTCACAGACTGAAACAGGCTCCACGCTCTGAGCTGGCAGTCAGCACAGAGCCCGACGCGGGGCTCGAACCCACAAACCACGAGATCATGACCTAAGCAAAAGTCGGACGCTCAACCGACTAAGCCACCCAGGCACCCCAGTCTTTGTTTTTTCTTAACACTTTTTAAAAAGTTGTTTTGCAAACCTATATTTGCGGGGCTATTAATACAAACATTTGTGGCATGATAGCTGTGTGCCGTTCTTAGGATATAAATAAGTCCCATCTCATTCTCCTGTGTGTCCGGCACTGTGCTAAGTGCCACGGGGGATACGACAATGACTAAGACCCCCTCCCTGAGCGCATGGTCAAACTCATGGCCAGGGTAAAAATAAAGACAATGCTAATACCAGGCTAGGTGTAAATCCTACAGAGGAGTGCACACCCAAGTACATAAGCTGCATTGTTTTCCCAGTAGGAGATGTACGTTGCCTGGAAGCAGTTCTTCTCCCACTTTCTGGCCTCAGGATGTGGGGTAAACAGCATGCTGGGTCAGAGCGTGATGCCTTTGCGGCATGCTATAGAGCAGGGGTCAGCGCACGTCTGTAAAAGGCCGGACAGGTAATGTTTCAGACTTCACGAGCCATACTGTCTCTTGCAACTACCCTACCCTGCCTTTGTAGTGCGAAAGCAACCATAAACAACACTAAATGAATTGTCCTGGCTGTGTTCCAATAAAACTTTATTTATAAAAACAAGCAGCAGGCTGGACTTGGCCTGTGGGCTATAGTGCGCTGACCCTGCTAGAAAGTAATGTTTCCCAAACTTCAGACATTCATAAGTGATATTCAAGATCGTGTTGTCTACCATATGCCTCCATTATACTTTTTTCATGCCTGTACTATTAACTACTTAACATTTTCTTTAAAAAGTTTGTTTTTTCACCTTCAATGCCTTGTTTAAAGAAATGTGCCACTACTCTAATTAGAAAATCAGTATCCCTTGTATGAAATGAAGGTAGCTCTAAAAAGAAATACTATAAAGAACAGAGTTATTGAAATCTAGCTAGATTCTGTTTCCTGTTGAGGGCATTGAACCTGAAGTCTGCTCTTTTTTGTTATAAAGGAGGTGTTAAGGAGGTGCGAAAGGATCACTTATTAGGAACTTTCTCCTTGCAGTGGTTGTGCATAGTGGTTTCCCTGTGTCCTCTGCGGCCCTTGCCATCTATGTACATTTGCAAAGCCTTCAGCTCTTTGCTGATTCCGCCATGGTGGGCAGAGCCTGTCGATCAGGCAGGGCCATGCGGTGTCTTAAGTCTGTCATAAGTGCAGAGTTTAATACTATTTTCAGCTTTGCTTTCTATTCTTTTTTAATTATTAAACTTTTAATTCCTAGCTATTTGTAGATTGACATGCAATTATAAGAAGGAATACAGAGAGTTCTTGTAATGTCTCATAAACGTAAATGTAAATGTCTCATAAAGGTAAGGTCTCATAAAACTGTAGTGCAATAGTACAGCCTGGATATTGACACTGACATATTCCTCAGATCTTGTCCAGACTTCTGCAGTTTTATGTGTGACCATCTGTGGGGTGTATGTGTATTTTGTTGTATATAATTTTTTTGTGTTTATTTATTTTTGAGAGAGAGAGCATGTGAGCGCGAGTGGGGGGTCAGAGAGAGAGAGAGAAAGAGAGACAGAGACAGAATCCGAAGCAGGCTCCAGGTTCTGAGCTGTCAGCACATGATCTGAGATTAAGACATGAGCCCAAGTCGGATGCTTAATCAGCTGAGCCACCCAGGCACCCTGTTGTATATAACTTCATCGTGTGTGTAGGCTTCACAGTCAAGATACAGGAGAAGTCCACCAACACCAGGGTTCCTTGTGTGACCCCTTCATAACCATGCCAACGCCCCTTTTGCCTCCATGATCCCTTCCCACCTCCAGCCCCCAAACCCTGGCAACCACTAATCTATTCTCCAGCTTCTAAAACTTTGTCATTTCTTTCTTTCTTTTTTTTAAAATGTTTTATTTATTTCTGAGAGAGAGAGAGAGAGAGAGACAGCGTGAGCAAAGGAGGGTTAGAGAGAGAGGGAGACACAGAATCCAAAGCAGGCTCCATGCACTGAGCTAGCTGCCAGCACAGAGCCCGATGTAGGGCTCGAACCCACGAACTGCAAGATCATGACCTGAGCCGAAGTTGGATGCTCAACCGACTGAGCTGCCCAGGCACCCCTAAAACTTTGTCATTTCAAAAATATTATATAAATGGAATCATACAGTATATAACCTTTGGGGACTGGCTCTTTTTCCCTCGGTGAGATTCATCCGAATTCTTAAGTGTATCAATAGTGTTTATTTCTTTTCATGGCCGAATAGTATTCCATGGTATAAATATACCACAGTCTGTTTCACTGTTCACCCTTTGAGGGATAACTGGGTGGTTTCCAGTTTGAGGCTATTATAGATAAAGCTGCTATGAACATTTGTATACAGGTTTTTGTGTGAACATAAGTTTTTCATTTCTCTGGGGTAAATGCTTAGCAGCATATGCTGGGTTATATGGTAATTACACATTCAGTTTTGTAAGAAGCTGCCAAACTGTTTTCTTGAGTGGTCGTTCCAGTCTGCATTCCTACCAGCAATGTATGAGTAATCCATTTCCTCTACATCCTTACCAACATTTGCTGTTGTTACTATTTTTTAATTTAAGCCATTCTGATAGATGTGTAGTGATATCTCATAATGGTTTTAATTTGCATTTCCCTAATGGCGGCTAATGGTGTTCAACATCTTTTCATGTGCTTATTTGCCATCTGTGTACATCTCTTTGCACAAAATGACTCTTCATGTCTTTTCACCATTTTCTTTTTTTAATAAAGGTTTTATTTAAAAATTTTTTTTAAATGTTTATTTCTGAGAGAGAGAGAGACAGAGTGCAAGCAAGGAAGGGCAGAGAGAGAGGGAGACACAGAATCTGAAGCAGGTTCCAGGCTCTGAGCTGTCAGCACAGAGGCTGACACAGGGCTCGAACCCACGAACCGTGTGATCGTGACCTGAGCCGAAATTGGAGGCTTAACTGACTGAGCCACCCAGACGCCCCTATAAGATAGGTTTTATTTTTGAGTGATCTATACATTCAGTGTTGGGCTCAAACCCACAACCCTGAGATCAAGAGTCTCATGCTCCATCGACTGAGCCAGCCAGACATCCCTCTTTTGATCATTTCCTAATTGGATTATTATTATTAATTTTTTTTTTTTTTACTGTTCAAAACCTTTTTTATAACAGCTTTACTGAGGTATAACTCACAATACTCTTCACAGCGGTTTGAGAATTAGATCTCAATAAAGTGGTCTGGAGTATATTCACAGAGTTGTAAAACCATCACCACTATCTAACTCTAGAAAATTGTCATTAATCCCCAAAGAAACTGCGTGCCCATTAGCAGTCACTCTTTCCCCATTCTCTCCAGCTCCTGTCACCACAAAGCTCCTTTCTGCCTCTAGGGATTTGCCTGTTCTAAACACTTTGTATAAATGGAATCGTAGTATGTGGCCTTTTATGTCTAGTTTCTTTTGCTTAACATGTTTTCAGGGTTCGTCCGTATTGTAGTGTGAGTCAGCGCTGCACTCCTTTGACAGAATTATATGTTATTGTATGGACATACCACATTTCATGTCTCCATTTGTCTGTTGATGGACATTTTGGTTGTTTCTACTTTTGGGCTATTATGAATAATGCTGCTATTAACATTCATGTACAAGTTTTTGTGTGGACTTATGTTTTCATTTTTCTTGGATATATTCTTAGGAGTAGAATTGCTGGGCCATATGGTAACTCTATGCTTAGCCTTTTGAAGAACTGCCAGACTGTTCTCCAAAGAGATGGCACAATTTTACATTCCCACCAGCAGTGTATGAGGCTTCTGATTTTTCTGTATCCTCGCCAACAGTTCTGGTCTTTCTTTTTGATTAGAGCCATCCAGTGGGTGTGACATGGTATCCCACTGTGATTTTGATTACTGCTGAGTTTTGAGAGTTCTTTATATATTCTAGATACTAGTCCTTCATCAGAAGTCCAGCTATTAATTTTTCATTTATAGATTGGCTTCTGGTATCAACTCTAAGAATTCTTTGCTTCAGCTTTGCCTTTTGTACTGACCAGCAGCATTTGTTGAAATAGAGAGTCCTCAACACCTAGGCCCAAAAAGTCAGCTCTGTCGAGTGAGCGAGCCTCTGTTTGTCCTTCCTCCAGTCAAGCAGACCCACTGGTTAGCGAATGTTGCGGGGGTGGGGAGGAAGGAAGAAAAGGACCAGGTAGCTGGACAATCACATTCTATCCCTTGGCATCAAGAAGCATCAAAGGCATCAGAAGGCCTTTCTAAACTCTTACAGCTGATTCTGTTTCTCTTTCAGACCCTGGAGGAGGAGTTATTTGGGAACAACGAAGAGAGCCCAGCTTTCAAGGAGTTCTTGGACCTGTTGGGGGACACGATCACACTGCAGGACTTCAAAGGGTGGGTTTCAGCCAAGTGATGGCTCCGGCCCCAATGATGACACCCTAGAGGAAGGGAGAGGGGTGCCAGCTGAGTCTCAAAGGGTATGTGAGAGGTAAAAACATACGCAAGAAACTTAGGATTAGTCTTCAGCGAGTGATCAATGCTCACCTGCATTCCTAAGGAAACGGGTGATGTGGGGGAGAATCCAGAATGGCACATTATCTGAGCGGCATGACCTTGGCCTTCTGATAAATGATGAAACAGCTCCACCTCAGATTTCTCCCCCTAATTACATTTGGCTCTGACCAAGAGGGAAATGAATCCACCCTCCCTGTTGCTCACCTGCCAGCCTTAAGGAGGCCTGATGAGCCTCAGGAAAGAGGGCCCTGTGTAATTTGGAGAGAAGTGGCCCATTTCATGTAATATATAAAAAGGTTGGATAATTAAGAGTTGGTAGAAATACAGTCATCTCCCTGGCGAGACTTTATGCAACTGTCTCTAAGTGGACAGAAAGACTATTGGGGCCATTGCTTGGAAAACTCTGGCCCTTGATTTTCCTTGACAAAGGTGACGTTTGAGAAGGGGCTTCAGACATGGTCAGCGTGTTCTACGCTTTGTGGCTGGAACACTGCTGAGCCCCATGTCAGTGACCAAATTAACAGGACCTCCTAACAGGTACGAAAGTGCCCACCAGCTCTGGGCCTGGTGTGTAGTAGGTGTTTAGTAATCACTTTTTTCCTCCACCCCCTCCTCTCCTACTCTTCCATCTTCTATCCCCCCCCATCTTCCTCCCCGTCCAAGGTCATCACTGCCATCTGCAGTCGGTCACATGAGTTACAATCTTACCGCCAGCACTTATTGGCTCTGTGCTGTGACCTTGAATAAGTGAATAACCTCCAGAAGCCTCGGTTTCCTCATCTGTAAAAGGGAGATAAAGATAGTACTGGCCCCGCCACGTTGTTAAGGGATTAAAGTAGAAAAATGCATGTGAAGCACTTTTTATACCACCTTCCATTGACTCTGAGATGCCTTCATTGTAAGATACATCTTGCTTTTCAGAGATGTTAAGATATGAAAAAATGTGTGCTTTCAGCCGGTAGAGCATCCGACTTCAGCTCAGGTCATGATCTCATGGTTTGTGAGTTTGAGCCCTGTGTTGGACTCTGTGCTAACAGCTCAGGGCCTGGAGCCTGCTTTGGATTCTGTGTCTCCCTCTCTCTCTGCCCCTGCCCGGCTCACACTCTCTCTCTGTCTCAAAAATAAATAAGAGTTAAAAATATTTTAGAATACATGAAATAAAGTATGTTAAAACCAAGAAGGACCTAGAGATCATGTACTTTTATCCCTTTATTGTATAGAGAAAGGAACCTGAGGCCTAGACAGATGAAGTGGTATGCCCAAGATCATGTGCTGACTTGGTGGCAGAAGCAGGTTTTGAACCTGGAGTGCCTGACTCTTGGCCTGGTGGGCTTTCTGCCATGCCAGGCTGAACACATTTTCTGGTTTGTATGACAGTGCTTGTGGGGACTGACGTCCAGGGTCTGTGTTATTTCATTTTCTTAAAGGAACCTCCACCTTCCTCCCCTTGCTGAAGAATGATCCATGGCCAGAAGCCGCATGTCTGTAAAGGAAGAAGGGGTAGTTCCCAGAAGCTGTTATATAAATGGAATCATATAATATATGATGATATATGTTCCTTAGTACTTTTCTTTCCTGCCTTTGAGGAGATAACCAGAGAGGGGCTCCTGGGACACATCTATGTTGGGTGCTGCTGTGGCTGGGTCCCCATATCAGGGGCTCACTGGGTAGGAGTCCAAGCATCTGTCGTCTCTTCAGGCTCACTCTGGATGCTTCCGACAGGATGGCTGGTTGTCCTGGCTCTGGGCTGAGGACTTGGACGTGGCCTTGCAGAGAGGAGAGGCTTATGCCCAGCCCTGAGGGCCACTGGCACCTGGAGGGCATTTGTCTTGGGTTGTGGATGGGCGACCTCCCTTCCCATGTGACCATAGGGATGTTCTGCCTTTGTTTTAAATAACAGACTGACTTGCGGTTGGAACCTCAGGGCTCGTCTGCCCAGAAGCACGGAGCTCCCTGCGATGCCCGCAGTGTTGTTTCTATGCCCTCGCTCTCCCATGTCTTCTCATCCACGCTCCTATCCCGTATCCGCAGGGGAGGTGGTACCAGGGAGCCCACCTCTCCTCACCCTTTCTCTCCCTGCTCTTGCCCTGTTTTACCGACAGTTTCCGAGGTGGCCTGGATGTGACCCACGGACAGACGGGGGTGGAATCAGTATACACGATATTCCGGGACAGGGAGATCATGTTTCACGTCTCCACAAAGCTGCCGTTTACTGAAGGAGACGCCCAGCAGGTAACCTGGTTCCGGAGGGCTTCGGGAGCACGGGGCGCGTGAGGTGACAGCGGCATCTGGTCTCAGACCCTTGAGGGACTGCGGCCCCCTCCCCAGTTTCTAATCCAGAGGCCTGTCTGTTAAGTTGCTCTCGTGGAAGTCTGTTCCGTGGTGATTTCTGCCCCAGGCTTTGGAGGAGGCCGGACAGGTTTCCTGGTGGTTCCGCTTCAATCGGTGGGGCACCTGCAGCCCAGTGTGGTGAAAACCCACGTCCCAGTTGATGAGGGGTGGAGCTGGGAGCAGAGCTCAAGTGCCGTGCCCTGTAGGGTGCTGGTGAACAGTACCCGATGGAGTTTGCACAGGGCCGCTCGATGCCACTTAGGGGTATGTGATTCCAGGCAAGCTGGGTAACCTTCGCGGCCTCGTGTCCCTCGGCTGTACAGCGGGGGTGACACCACCTAAGTCAGAGGCTTGTTGTGGGCATCACAGAAGCTTCTGAATGTGGCACTTAGTAGGCTGCCTGGCTCGCGGCAGGCTTCCTTCCTGACACGTGTCTGCTCTGCAGGCCACTGGGCTGTCTGTCCTCCTCCTTCCTACCCCAGTGGTGGATGGCAAGGTGCCCATCACCTGAGACACCCCTCGCCTTCCAGCCTTTCTAATCTCGTGGGCCTCATCTCTCACCACACCTGCCTGTGTGCAGGAATTCGGCCTTTACCTGAACTGGGGTGAGACCTCTGCGTCCAGGGTCTTCCCGCCTTCCCTCTCGTATGTGGCTTCTGATGGACCCTGAGACCAGCAGCCAAGGCCTGGCCACTGCACCATCTGCCCCCTCCCACTCTTTGTGCCTTTTCAGTCTACAGGAAAATCAGAAAGGAAGCCAGGCTCTTCACCAGACTCTGACCCAGTGCTTTCTGAGCAGGGAGCTGAGGAGGGAGCACAGATGTAATACTGTAAACATAGTGCCTGGCTTCTTAGGAAAAAAGGAAATTGGCAAACGAGACTGTGATTTGGCTCTAAAATAACCGCTGAATGTTCCAGAAACAAATGGGAGCAGGATTCCTTTTGAATCCAAAGTAGGTTTTCTCTCTACGTTTTCACCTTAGTCTCTGTTCCCTCATGGACTCCTCACGCCCTGCCCCAGCCTGGGGCTCTTTTAGTCTCATCTGTATTTGGTGGGAAGTATACAGAGCCTTCTGTGAGGACTGAATAAATATTAATTTTTTTTCCCAAGAAATGGGAGGCGGTGGGTGGAATACGTGAGACAATTTGTGTAAAAATGCCCAGCACAGGGCGAGTTTATAGTAAATGAGAAATTCAATGTGGAACATAGGGCTTGCATTCAGTAGGTGCTTAATAAAGGAAGAAATATGTAGCTAAGCACCTAGGCAGGACTCAGTGTACAGGAGGGCCCTAACATTTGAAATCATGCGTGTGAATAGCCCAGCGTGGCTTCTGACACATAGTTGGTGCTCAGTGATCGAGATCACCTGTGAAAGCACTTGGCACAGTTTGGGACTCTGAATCAGGGCTGGATTTCTCTCCCGTGACCTCTGCCAAGCCAGGTTGCCCTCTTTCTCTGAGCATGGCTCTCCTTCCCTCTGGTATAGAATGATCCGCCCGCTCCTCCCTGCTCATCCACATTTCTATCCACATTTCTGTCTTCCCCCATCTCCTCTTCCAGGAAGCCTTCTCAGATTAGCATCAGGCCTCTGATTTTATTCTCCTCTCTGCCTCCATAGTGTTGGACACTTTGTGTGTGGCAGCTGATTTAGCACTTGTTGGCCGGTGCCTTTTTTACTGTTCTCAGGTAGTTTCACCTGAGTTTGTGTCTCCTCTGGATCAGTTACAGGCTTTATCAGGGCGAAAGTCATCCCCTCACCTTTTCGAGATCCTCCGTGAGCCCCGAGTCAGGGCTCTGCATGCTCTGGAGCTCAGTAAGATGCTTGCTAGCCTCTACCTAACATCTTAGGGGTCCTGCCCAGTTTTTCTTTTTGGTGCCTTCTAAAGATCGGGAAGGTGGGGGTGGAAAGGCCCTAGAGAGGTAGATCCCAGAGTTTCAGGGTTTGTGTATAAAGATAGAGTAATGAGGAATTTCCTATATAGATGATTCTGTTTTTAGGATATTCCTCACTGGCTTATAACAATGAAACACTTTTCTGTTTAGCTCCAGAGAAAGAGACACATTGGGAATGACATTGTGGCCATCATCTTCCAAGAAGAAAACACACCGTTTGTCCCCGATATGATTGCCTCCAACTTCTTACATGCCTACATTGTCGTGCAGGTCGAGAACCCAGGCACAGAGACCCCATCCTACAAGGTGAGAACGTTGGAGGAAGTGGTGGGCCCAGGCACTTCACCACACCTTGTGGATTTGGTTAAATCAAGAACCACTAGTTCTCAATGGCTCCTCAGGCCATTCTCCAAAATGGTACTCCTAGCGTTGGTATGATCAATTTTCTAGAAATCCCAGGTTTTGGGATTTGGGAACTGGACTCTTGGTGGAAGTCGCCTTCTGAGGTCGTCTCCTCCATCTGGCTGCCTCCAGGTTCAACAGCATCCAACTCGAGGGTTGAGAAGCCCCCAGTGCCTCTGTTTGGAATCTGGTGATGCCATTGGCTGGACTAAGGCAGAGCCAGAGGAGAGGAGCAAAAGAGAGGAGGGTGGGGAGGACCATCGGGAAAGGGAGATGAAGAAGTGTGGTAACAAAGGGGAAGAAAGGAAAGCAGAAGTGTTTATGGTGACAGCGGTGGAGAGCAGGGGGCCCGGTAGACCCTGGCCATAGGGTGGGCCCTTCTCGTTTAGCTGTTCTGGAATAAATGATTGGTCTTAATTTGAAGATTCCCAGGGGGGTGGGGGGGTTGTAAGCACCTGAGTCTAAACCTCCAGATCAATAAGCGGTCTTCTGGGTTGGCTCAGTGTCCCCGCTGCAGGGAGGCCCTGGCAGCCCTCACCCTGCCTGTTCCCGAAGCCTGTGCCGCCAGCGCTCCCCTCCCCTCCCCTTTTCCGTGAGAAGCAATTCTGACCTCATGGGCAACAGTTTCTATTTCACTGGTGTTGGGGGCTGTGGGCTCCAAGGGAGACAGACTGAGGCAGGGCCTTTAAGGTGGATGTTTGTCTTTGAACCTCTTGCGGATATATGCAGAACACTTACGTTCAAGATATTGTGTTCGTGTGCTTCCTTGCATTTTAGGGGGAGAGAGACCAAAGGTCAAATTCTCAGAGGGCTCCCTGTTCCCCACAAGAGTTAGGAACTGCGGTTCTAAGGGAGAGGGGGATGAGCCTGTCGTTGCTACTGGGAACTTGGAATGATCTGAAACTGGACTACCTGTGTAATAGCTTAGGCCAGTGCTGGTTCCTAGGCTCCCAAAGCTCGAGTGCTTCACGGCCATCTTCATGAAGCATCCACTTTGCTTGAAGATTCTGGAAAAGAAAATGATGACGTATAATTAGTACATCAGTAGAAACCCACGTAGTTAAGTGCAAAATGCACATCAACTTTAAAACCAGAGATGAGACTGTAGACAAAACCCCACACTCTCTCCTGTGAGGAAAGCTGATTCTCTTCTATCCCCGTGTTCATGTTCATGTTCGTGTTCATGCTCCTCTGTCACTGAGCAGCTCTAGCTGGAAAGTTAGAGAAGCCACGTTTTGGGCATTTCCTTGGAGGATCACCTCCTTAGACCAAAATGGTCATTCCCTTCAAACGGTCGTTTGAGTTGTTGATGGAAGCAAGTTTATTCCTTCAGTGCCCCCTGTGTCCCAGGCACTGTGTTAGGGGTGGGACACATGAAGTGACCTACAGGGAAGGGACAGAGGGCCAGTGGGTGCAGTTCAGCCACTGGACCACTCGGACAGCCAGCTGACTCTTTTCACAGCCCGTGGAGGCAGAGAGCCCCTGGGGAGGGTCCGGGGGGCTCCCACACCCCACGAGGCAGTCATGTGCGGACGCCTGGCTTGTCTGCTGGGCCTCTGCTGGCAGAAGGGGCCTCTCATGGAGCTTAAGTATTTGTTTTTAGCTCCCGATAGGAAATGGAACTCAGCTAACTGGCTTCTCCACTTTCTCAAGAGCTTAGTGGGGTGGGAAAATGCAGAGATCCAAAAAAACACCACCCCACCTCCAGCTTTGATGCTTGAAGTCTTTACCAAGTCTTCCCAGCCAAAGCCCATGGTCCAGGGAGAAGCACTGTCCTCACAGAGAGTGGCAATGAGCAGAGAAGCAGGACCCACAGGGAGAGCCAGGCTCTGTCCCCAGGCTGTGGGACTGTGTGGTTCCCCTGCCGGGCCAGCATCCAAGTGGAAGGCAGACCCGTGAATGGGGCGGCGGGAGGGCGGGATGCCAGCCTTCCAACACGCTCCCGAGAGCACTGTCCATTCGTATCCCCGGCGGCACCCCAGGTGGTGAGAAGACCCGGGAGCACCTGGTCAGATTCCTCAGCGGGTCCAGGGTGGAATGGGACCTCCGCTGACTGCTGCAGATTTAGGGGCTATGGCAAAGGAGGCCAAGATGTCCCCATGGGCTGAGCAGTGTCCCAGGAGGCCTCCGCTGGGGATGATAAACTGGAAAGGAAAGGAAACGGAGGGAAGGACAAGAAAGGCCCCCAGGCCCAGAGGCTCAGGAGCTGGGTGTTCTGGTCCTGGCCCTGCCTCTGACCGCTGTATGACCTTGAGCCAGTTCCTTCCTTCTCTGGACCTCAGCTTCCATCTGTGAAATGAGGAAGTTGGACTAGACAACCTCTGAGTTCCTTCCAGCCCTGACGTGCTGCGGGAGGGGAAGTGGAGTCAGGGGTCGGGGGACTTGGGGAAGAGGGGTGTGTGTGTGTGTGTGTGTGTGTGTGTGTGAGAGAGAGAGAGAGAGAGAGAGAGAGAGAGAGTCAGAGAGAAGGAAATGATTTAGCAGAACTTTCTAGTATTTCAAGTGTCCTTTATTAGGTGCAGGTCAACAGGGGAAGTAAAAAACCTAAAGCCCCAGGTAACAGGTTCCCCCTGACTGGGTGCTTGCTCTGCACCGGGCACTGTGCTCAGCCCTTAGAAGCACTGCCTCTTGGACCTTCACGAACCCCTGGTCAGGCAGTGTCACTTGTTAGCCCTATTTGACAGGAAGGAAATTGAGGCAGAGAGCCTAAGCCACTTGAGGCCGGAGGCCGCAGAGCCCGGAAGTGGTGGAGCTGAAGTGTGCCCAGGTCTGCCTGTGATCTCCGTAACTGAGCCGTCGGAGCAGGTGGGCGCTTGGCTCCAAAGCCCAGGTGTAAATGCAAGGTTACATCGGATGATTTTTCCGACAGGAATCTTGTCCCCGTCCTGCCCGGTGGGAAGGGAAGTCCAGTTGAACCGTCCCTAGAACTCCCTCCTCTTCCTGTCTCAGGTCACCCTGCCCCTGATTCCTGATGGCTGACGGCCAGCAGAGGTCTCAGGGATCCTGTGGGCAGCACAGCACTGGGGAGGGGTCCTGCCGGCGTGCCCCCCTTCCACTCACTGCTCATCTGCTGCCCGGGCAGCCCTCCACAGTTCTCCAAGACTCCCAGGCCACATTTGGCTGTGCCTTTCAAGTTTGGAGCCTTTGGAGGCTCCCCACCTCCCTGGTGTATCCTTGAACTCACAAGGAGGCCCCAAGCCTCCTTCTGCTTTCTAGCCTCGAAAATTCTCCCCACGGTCACCTGTGCTTCTCTCTCAGCCCTGCCCTGCCCCCTGCTGGGAGGCCCGCACTGAATTTAGAAACCGAGAAGGTGGGGCTGTGTTCCCACAGCTTCTGCTTTCAGCCCAGCAACCCACCTGTCCTCAAGAGGAGGGAACAGCAAAGACCCGGGCACTTTGTTGGAAAGGGATCAGGGGAGGGAACACAATGGGGATAGAAGATGCATGGCCAGTCACTGGGGAGGATCGTGTCCCCTGCTTTTCTGACATGGCTGCTCTGGTGGTTTATGCGACTGGGAGACGCGGCAGGTTGAAGAGCACGTGTGGAGCTCCTTACCCAGCCAGCACAGACCACTCTGGAGCAAGCCCGAGAAGGAGGGCTGCTGGGGGGGTGGGGGCTGACCTCTGGCCCCCTCACCTCAGATTCCCATGTGCAGTGGGTGGTGGAAGGCGGGGGACTATGTTTGGCAGCTGGAAGCAGCCAGAGATCATGTCAGCTGAACACACACCATTTCCTAATTCTGGGCATGCAGACAGCCTTGAGCCTGGGGAGAGAAAGCAATCCTGACCAGCTCTCTCCCGCTGTTTCCTTCCAGACCCTGGCAGGGCCTTCCCTTGGCCCAGCTCCGAGCTGCCTGCTCTCCCGGGCTGGCAGACTCTCTGCATCTGCCCTACTTCATAGGCCAGGGAGGCTGGCGGCACGCCAGGGCTAGGCTCACGTCAGCGGCAGTCTGGGAGCTGGAGAGGGCAGAGTCTCCAGAGAGGCCTGCGGCCTGTGGGCTGAGAGCAGGTGAAATCAGGGCACATCCACACAGCGAGAGCATCTGGTCATGCTGGGCCTGTCCCAGGCCTGGGACACCCCCACAGGGAGCACCTACGTGCTCTCACTCCGTTAGTTCCTACCTCCCCAGGCCGGCCGGAAGTGGCCACCACACCCAGCGCTGGGGGCACCCTGCACGGAGCACCGTGATGTCCCCCTACCCACAATTCCCAGCTCTGTGGGTTTGAGCCTCGCCAGACTGTCTGACCCTGTGTGTGGGGCCAGGGCTCCCAAACAGTAGTCAGCCAACCGCACAAAAGCTCTATGGAGTGTTTAACTGTTGCAGATTCCTGGCTCCACCCCAGAGCCTGTGACTCAGTAGGTTTGGGGCGGAGCCCATGCCATGGGTGTTTATTTTTTAAACACTGGAAGTGATTCTGGTGTATGGCCAGGTTTGGGAGTCAGTGTTGTGGGAAAAGGAACCCAGAGCAGAGTCAGGAGGTCTGGATTCCCTGGTCATCTCTCTGGCTAATCACCTATGTGTCTGAGGGGAGATGGCTCCCAGTCTCTGGGCATCTGTGTCCCCGTCAGTAACACAGGGGTGACAGTTCGCACTTTGCCTTCTCCGTGGGATTAGTATCCAGTCAAATGAAGCAACGAGATAAGGCCTCCTGGCACTTGTACGGCATTAGAAGCAGGGTCCCAGGCTACTCCTCAGTCCTGTCCGGTCGTCTTGCCAAACTTGTTTCTGGCCTCCAGGAATGTAGCTGAGAGCATGTGGATGTGGCTCTGTGCAGTCCGGCCCCACTTCTGGGAACAACGACTTGGGCCGTGCTGGTGATGGATCACGGGAGCGCTGGCTTTGAGTTGTGGGGAGCGGGGAGAGGGGAGGGGAAGGAATCTGCTCTGGGTGGTGGGCTTCCCTAGGGCCAGGGCTCCGAATGCGTTATCATCCTCAGCCGGGATCCCTTCCCTCCCGGCCCACACTGAGACTCTGTTTCAGGTGTCAGTCACCGCACGGGAAGATGTGCCCGCCTTTGGCCCACCTCTGCCCAGTCCTCCTGTTTTCCAGAAGGTAAGAAACTCCCCTCTGCTCTTCTCTTATCCCTGACTCCAGGTTTCAGCATCTGAGTGGCAGTGGCTGGAGTGGGGCCGAATCTGGGCTGGGAACATCAGAAGCGCCTTAGGCAGGCTTGAAGAATGTCCGTACTTGGGGCCTCTCCCCTCGTCCCGGTGCCGCCAGCCTGCCCTAGTACAGCGCCTCTTGTCACAGTGTTTGACAGTGGCTTTGCCTTTCTGCTAGAAGAAGCATTTTTTACCTATGCCTCAGTCCCAGAAGCCTTGGACAAGAATCGCCTTCAGTAATGAAAACGGTGTGGCAGGGGGTTGATTTCCTGGGAGCAGGAGAGCCCGTCTCCACGCTGGCATCTTAGGTGGGCCTGGCCTGGGCTAGAGCATGACCACATGTCAGAAGGGGGCCTTTTAGGGACTCTCCTCGGGCCCTCTGTTCCGCCTGCCCATGGCTGTTGCTGAAAGCCCTTTCAGCCACAGCTGAAGCTGGGAGAATCCCAGAGCGTCGTGTCTGTTCCAGGGCCCGGAGTTCAGGGAGTTTCTGCTCACCAAGCTCACCAACGCAGAGAACGCTTGCTGCAAGTCGGACAAGTTTGCAAAGCTGGAGGTGAGAGCACTGTTTTTGTAAGTCTTTCTCCTTCCTTCCTGGCTGCTTTCAGCCAGCCTGTCCCTGGGGTCTATTCTTGGGGGCACTTAAGGTGCAGGGCATGGCTTTGGCCCAGTAAGCCTTCAGTCCTGTGTTAATAAAGGAACTCTTTCCTCTTGTAGAAACTTCATCCAAACATTATGTCTGGCCAGTCATTTATTGAGCACCTGCTGTGTGGCAGGCTCTGTTCTATTCCCTGTGATACAGGGGTGAGACAGTTTCTGCCTTACAGAGCTTTGGGGCTGGTGGGAAGGAGCCATTACTTAAGAGACAGGTATGATATGGTGTCCGCACTGGGCCGTGATGGAGGCCATCACAGGGGCTGTGACTGCTTCTGCCCATGGACAACTGGGATGTGTTCAGGGAGGGCTTCTTGGAGGAGGTGGCCCTTGAACTGCTGAATCTGGATATCTGACAAGGCTTCTGCCAGGAGGAAAGATTGAGGAAGGTTATTCTAGGCATGGGAAATAGCATGAGGAAAGGCCAGGCAGATCAGAGCATGACTTTTGAGGGAACCCCAGAGGGTTTGACATGGCCTTAGAGAGAATCATGTAGGGGTGGAGAGTCAGCTGGAGAGGTTGGTTGGGTCAGGTCAGGAAGGGCTTTGAACTCTAGAGGTGATGAAGTGCGAATAAAATACTTAGGAGAGTGCTGGTTTGCTTTGCATATTAGAAAATGACTCTGATGTGCTGAGAAGGGCAGATTGCCAGGGAGGAGGGCAGGAAGGGGGGCAAGTTGGCTGTTACAGGAGCCCAGGACAAATGATGACGGCTTGCTTGCAGCGGCCACAGGAGGAAATGGTTTGGGGGCGGGGTTAGGAAGACTTGAAGGACTCCTGTGTATAGGCTGGGAATTGCAGGGTGGCTCTTGGGCCTTCGGCCTGGGCTCTTCACTGACCTGGGAAGTCAGTGAAGACCATCAGGAGATGAGTCTGTTAGGATCTGCTGACCTAGAGATACGGGCAAGGGTTGCTGCAAGGGCTGGTCCTGCTGTGTGTGCATGGCGCCCCCTGGAGGCTGCGTGCCTGGCCCTGGCGCACCTCTGGATGGAGAAGGGCAGCTGGGTCTGCAGCTGTGGAGCTGGAGGCAGAGATCTGAGCTGGGCCTCCGCAGGGTAGAGCTGTGGGATGGCTCAAAGAGAAGGGGCAGGGGAAGAGGGCGGAGGCCAGCCACGGAGCGGTGGTGTGAACTGCAGTATTGCTGAGCCTGGAGCCCAGCCAGGCCGAGGTCCATGCTGTCACCTGGGATGCTGGTGGTCAGGGGTCTGAAGCCCCTGGGAGCGGGCGCATCTCTGTGCTCGGTGCCAGCTCCATCGTCCCTACCCTCTTTTTTTCTAGGACCGGACCAGGGCCGCCCTTCTGGACAACCTTCACGATGAGCTTCACACCCACACACAGGCCATGCTGGGCCTGGGCCCAGAAGAGGACAAGTTTGAGAATGGGGGCCATGGGGGATTCTTGGAGTCTTTTAAGGTACGGGCACAGGAGTGGCTGGGGATTGTATCTGGTGGGGGTGAGGGTGGGACAAACAAGGGAGGGGGTCCAAGGTCTTTGTGGTCCTGACCCCAGAGCCCAAGTGCCAGGATCACAGTGTTGGCACATGTCAGGACGGGTGAGCAAACAGAGCCGCCAGCTGGGTCCCTGGTGTCTTCTGCATCCTTTCTTGAGTTGGATCATCTCCTCCTGGCCCAGGGGTCTGAGAAACAGGGACAGGGAAAAAGTTATCAGCAGGCAGCAGGAGAGGAGCCAGCACAAACCAGGAACTTTATTGCCTTCCACTTCCTCCTTCTGTGTCGGGATGAGGAGCCCAGGACGGGATGATAAGAGCCAGGACAAACCTCAGGGGTCTTTAACAGCCAGTGTGTGGTACCTCAGTGATCCACCTGGCAGGACGTTGGAGGATCTGCCCCGGGCCAGTGGGATGGAGTTACAGGCAAGTGAATCCCTGTGGACTTTGCAAAAGGAAGAACTTTCTAACCAGAACGAGCTGCTAAAAGAAGTAGTGAGCTCCCTGTCCCTGGAAGTATTCAAGTAGAGCTTGGGCAGCAGTGTGAGCCAGTGTGAGATACAGGAGGTTTATTGTTTATCGTCACATGTTTATGAAGTGCTTTTTGGTCCACACAGCTCTTACGTCCAGCCTCTCGCTTGACCGTGGCTGTATTCCTGTGTAGTTAACAGGCCAAGTCTTGTTATTCCCACTCACATGTGAGGGCAGCGGCCGAGAGGGGCCGCAGGACTGCTCAAAACCTTACACCTACTTAGAGGTAGAGAAACAAACTCAGCCTTTCTGGTTCTTAGGTTAGCATTCGGCTGGATCCCCCATTGCAGAATGATTTGCCAGGCTGCCGTCTTGGGGGCAGCATGTGTGGGGTCAGGGTGAGCCCTGCCTGTGCTAGAATCCTAGCTCGGTGTGACCCTGGGCCTGGTCTTTAGAGCCGCAGTGTACTGCTCAACAACTCACGGATGGTAAATTGGGCCTCTGGAGGTGCTGGACAAATTCACTGAAGTAATACCTGGGGGTACCTGTTGCCTGGAACACAGCAAGGGCTTGGTGAAAGCATTAGCTGTAACTGCTGCGTAAGGTGAAAGCTTAACGTGCGCCAACCCATCTAAAGCGTCACAAATGCCCTCTGTGCCCTGTGAGGAAGGCTGTTATGATGGGGATAACCATTCATTTCCAGTTTTATTAATTATGGGTGTAGTTTTATGTGTGAGGAAACTAAGGCTCAAAGAGACAAAGTAACTTGAATCCAAGCGTTGAGTTGAGTCTGCTGGTTTGCAGAGCCCGTGTTCTGTGTGCTGCTGCCTCTGGTTCCCGACTCAGTTAGGATTCCACCCACGTCAGCTGGGCCTGGGCAAGCCTGGGGTCCGTCCCTGGCTGCCCAGCGGGACCACAGAGAGCAGGGCATGGCTCTGCTGGCCCTAGTCGGGGCAGCTGCTGGGATTCCTCACGGGGGTGGGGACGGGACCCGAGCTGCTTGTCCAGGCTGGTGGGAGATTCCTGGCACATCTGTTTCAGGCCTGATGGACAGTAGCAGCCAGGGTGCAACAGGAGAAATTGGAGATCAAGAGAGAAGGGGCCTGAGGGAGAAGAGGGGCAGGGGAGGAAAGAGGGAGGCCAGGCTGGCTAGCCCAGCAAGCGGAGGGGGAATGTGAAGCCCAGGAAATAGGAAAACTTTTGTAGCACCCCCCCCCCCCCATCATATCGAGCACATCACTGTGCTCCCACATTGTGGGGTAAACTGTAGTTTGTATATGGCTTAAGCTGCAGGTGGCTAACATAATGTGATAGTTTGTAGATTTTAATGAAGCGTGTTGTTTTGTAAGTTTCTTTCTGTGTTTTGAAGCTCATGGTCGTTTTTCTTTCAATTTTCAACTGTTTTTATAACCTGGAAACACTTGTAGGCTGTGTACACTGCCCACGGTGCCCTTGGATAAAATGGCCCGGCAGCTACATGCAGGTTGTGGGTCTAAAGGAGGGTGGCCCCGGGCCATTTGCCCAGTCCCCCGCCTCTGGGGAGTAGCAGTTGATCTGTGTTCGACTCCAGTGGGTCTGAGTGAAGAGGTTTCCCACAGAGGAGAGGCTTCCAGATTTTAACATTTACTCATCTTTGATCCAGTAGTCCAGGATCTTTTTCTTTTCAACCCTTAATCCCTCCACCTGTGGGCTGAAGACATCTGCTGGTGCATTCTGCTTCCACGCATGCCCCGGGTAGCGCTTGTGGGGTACGGGAGGGGCGGTCACGATCGGTCACACGGAGCAAGCCTTCAGAGCTCTGGTCATTATGATGAGCATTTTTAAACCCCAGGCTGGGAACAGGAGCTCTTTTACCCTGTTTCCACCACCATTACCTGGTTATCTCCCAGGCCGTGGAGGCCGGAGCTGGGGGCTTGTCGGGAGCAGCGGCAGAGAGCCCAGCAGCCTGGGGGTTTCTGATGTCTGGGCTGTGCCTGTGGCCAGGCACACAGCCTGACCCAGCTCGGGAAACTACCTCTCATTGTTGTCGTATTTCTTCATGCACTCCTGGGGCGGTGCTGTGGTGTCAGAATTAGTGGTATTCCTCATGCAGCTCCTCACCTGCACCTCTGGAAAGAAGTGGTGCACAAAGTGATTCCAGAAAGAAAAGTTGTGTGTTTTATCTCCTTCTGGTCAAAGGTCTCATCTCACGTGGAAACAGTTGAGAATTCTCAGGACTAAAAGCAATCCCAGCCGTCCATCCCTTTGCCTCTGGGGACCGTTCTCCCCTCCACCCCCCTACAGAGCAGTGGCCCTTTGTCCCTCTCTGGAGAAGCAGCCCCATCGCTGCCCTAGATCATGCTGCCTGGCACCTCACGCCGCGTAGAATAGTTCTCACTTCTTACCTCAGTCCCACTGGCTGTAATTTAAGCTTTTCTTCCACGAGAAACAGAACAGTTGGTTTATGGATGTCGAGACCTGCTTCTGAAACTGAGTGCTTGGAGATAGTCTCAGGAATCTGCCAGTTCTACAAACACTTAAAAATTTTGCATTTTCACTTAGATGATAACCTAAAAATATACATATTTCCAATTATAGAGACTAAACTTATGCAGTGAAACTCACAATTAAAAGACATTTCTGTGGAAGAAGTAAATATATTGTAGGTGCAGTCCATGGGACCACTGCCGTGGTGGCCTGTGGATGTTTTCTTGGTCTTGCAAGAGTATTTTTCTTTATAAAAGAGCTGCGGGATGCCTGGGGGTAAGCGTCCAACTCTGGATTGTGGCTCAGGTCATGATCTCTTGGTTCATTAGATCAAGCCCCATGTTGGGCTCTGCACTGATGGTGCAGAGCCTGCTTAGGATTCTCTCTTTCCCTCTCTCTCTCTGTTCTTCCCCAGCTCAACTGTCTCTCTCTCTCTCTCTCAAAATAAATAAACTTAAAAAAAATAAAAATAAAACTATACATTAATTCACCTTCAAAAAATACTGATCTCTAGGCCATTGTTTTCAAGTACCATTCTTGGCCACTGCTACTTGCTGCTGAAATTTTACTGGTCCACAATGAGTTGAAAAGAAAAGGTAATGGTCCTCAGGGGCACCTGGGTGGCTCAGTCGGTTAAGCATCTGATTCGATTTTGGCCCGGATCATGGTATTGCAGTTCATGAGATCGAGCTCCACCTGGGGTTGTGTGCTGACAGTCTGCTTTAGATTCTCTCTCTCTCTCTGCCCCCCCCCCAATAAATAAAACTTAAAAAAGAAAAAAGAAAAAGTAACACTCCTTGATGTAGCTCCGTGATGTGTACACAAAGTACGTGTAAGCCACATTTTGAGAAACACTGAGCTGGCCCGGCCCTCCGTTACCTCATCGTGCCGAAGGGACAATGGAGAGAAGGCCCAGTGGCAGAATGGGGACCACAGCAAGCAGGGACAGCCGCTTTTTCCAGCCTTTGAGGGGTAGCGATAGTTAATGCACTGGTGTGATGTGACCCCTAGTGGCCGGTGAAGGGCACGAGGCTGCAATTTCCCGGGCAGGGTACCCGCAGGCAGCGGCAGCCTGGGTGCTCGTGGCTGGGAGCTCTGGTCTGTGGAGAGGCGGAGGGGCATCTCCTCCTGGAAGCCTGCATCCTTTGTTTGCCCTGCTGGAGGGACAGGAGAGCCCATTCCAGGCCTCAGGGCACCTCCTGACGAGGAGCCGTCTCAGGAGGCGAGCAGTTGGCATCTTTCTGTCCGAGCACCCCTCCCTTATTTGCTGGCCATATGCAGAGAGGCGCATCCCCCTCAGCGCTCACATCTGCGCTTTGTGTCCCCTAAGTGTGTTGCATTGAAACAACTCGCAAAACCCGTGTGGCATCACGAGGAAGCACAGGCCCCCAAGGAGGCAAGGCTGTGGTTGGCCCAGAGGAGACCTGCTCCCTGTATAACACTAGCTGGTAGCTCAGACCCCTGCTGACACAAAGCGACAGAAGCAGATAGAAAGTGACACCACCTCCCCTCCCCCCACGAAAGGAGAGCTTGCTCGAAGGTGAGACATGAGGTAACCCGTGAGGCGAGCTGAGGGCTGGAAAACCGTGAGCAGGGATGCCGGGGCGGCAGTGGTTAGCTGGGAGGAGAGCACTCTCTGAGGACACTTGTTAAGGGACAGTGTGTGAAATATGGAACAGACTGGTCTAAGAGTGAAGAACTGGCAAGATAGCAGCTTGGTGCACAGAAGGCCATTGCAGGGGTCGGGCCGTCCGCCGCCGGGGCAGGCCGTGTTGAAAGCCTGTCCCTGAGAGGATGCAGGCAGAGGGGAGACTCTGCCCTTCCCTGGCTCTCCCGCCCGGCTTGAGAAGGCTAGTGCCTCCAGCTCCACAGCAGATCCAGTGTAAAAGACTTTAGACCACGTCACTGGATGATTTTGTCCAGACGCAGCTTTGTTTTAAGGTTTTGGTGCAATCGTCATGTCCCTCGCCTTCCATCCCCGAGAGCGGGGAAGGAGAGCCGGGCCTGAGTGAGTGGGTTTCACACACGGTCTCACGCCCTCCTCACGCGGGACTGTCACCACGTTGTGCAGACGAGGCAGCCATGTGTCAGAGAGGTTCATACACTGTGCCGGGAGGACCAGGACTCAAACCTCTTTCTGTTAGCGTCCAGCAGCGACGGCCACCCTGCACGTCCCTGTCAGCCATCGTCTCCTCGGATGTATCTTGCCGGCTCACACAGCGGCACCAAGGGCACTGAGGAGAAAACGTCCTTCCTGACATCGGCCGTGGAGACTTCTTTTGAGGAGAGTTGAAAGCCCTTGGTTTCTGATCACCCTTAGTCGATCAGCCCGTTCAATTGTACGTTCAATCTGGACCATCTCAGGGATACTGGGGCCTTTCATCTGGAGCCCAGGGTCCCGGGTTTGGGTCCTCACTCCGTCTCCCACCTGCAGTGGCCTTGGGTGATTGTTTGTCTTTTGGGACCTTTTCTATCGGTGCCTGTCCTGTCTGCATCTCAGAGTTGCAGGGATTCAGGGAGTTCATGTGTATGAAACCCAGTAGACCAGATCCCATCAAACCACATCACATCTTTCTTGGAAAGATACCGTGGGGAGGGCATCAGAACATACACGATTAACTGACAAGTCATTGTTGATGACAGTGGTGGTGGCGGCGGCATCATGTCACGACGCTGAGATTTATGGAGCACTTGACTCGCTCAGGGAGGCTTGCTGTTTATCTAGGGACACCTCGGTGTGGCGCCACACCATTCCTGCGCTCAGTTTTCCAGAGGGTGTATGACTTAATGTTGTCTTTGGGAGATGGAATGAATAGAATGTACTGGCTGGAAACTGTTGCTAGGCGATTCTGTTCTGTGGTCTAAAAAGATGGGTCCGAGATGACGTCCCTCAGGCAGTGTATTTGACTCACACGGGAGAGGCTAGACGACATCAGGGCTAAGAGTCTGGTGGCTCCGTGCCTCATTTGCAGAAGTGATTTGTCTCCAGAGCATTCGTGTTTGCCAGTGGCCCTCTGTCCTGAATCAGCTTCTTGCATCCATGCCTTTGTCCTTCTGAGTCAGTTTTCTGAAGCTCAGTGTCTGAGAACCTCGGCCGGCTCCCACAGCAAGGAAAACCCACGAGCCCACTTAACAAGGACACTTGGGGGGCTCATGGCCCAGTGTGGCCCTTGGCATCTGCCATCCCAGCCTGTCAGCTTTGTCCCGCAGGCTTGGTCCCTCATGGCCCCAGGGTGGCCACGCAGTTTCAGGTGCAGCATGTCACATCTCTTTTGGGAATCCTTAAAACCATTTTTTTTCAATGTTTACTTATTTTTGATGGAGAGGGACAGAGCACGAGCAGGGGATGGACTGGAAAAGAGGGAGACACAGGATCCGAAGCAGGCTCCAGGCTCTGAGCTGTCGGCACAGAGCCTGACGCGGGGCTCAAAACCACCAACCACAAGATCATGACCCAGCTGAAGACAGATGCTTAACTGACTGAGCCACCCAGTGCCCCTGGGAATCCTTGAGGAACTCCTTCCCCACAGCTCCCATCAGACACCCCCTCATGCCCCACTGGCAAGGGGATTGGTTACATGACCACCTTAGACTGATCACGATACTCCCTTGTCCTGTGGAGGAAGAGGGAAAATTGGGCCAGTGGCTTTGCACTGGGGAATATGCTTGGTTTGGCACTCTTATGTGTGCAACTCATATAATATCTCCATCTCTGTATCTTGGCATATGTTGGGGTTTACCTCTGGGCCCTCTGTTCTACCGCCTCTTAGCTGGGTGCTCCCGATCAGGTCTCTTGGCTTCTCTGAGCCTCACTTGTGAAGTGGGGTGGAGGATACCCACACGACGGGCTTGTTGGGAGAATACAGCTGAAGCTCTTAGAGGGCCTGGAGCATCGTAAGTCCCCAGTAAATGTGGCTACTCTTCTGTTTGTGTGCTTCCCGTGCGCCATCCCTGTGCTGGAGCTGGGAGAATTACAGGAGAGGAGTCAGAGAAATGTCAGACCTGATGTCTGCCTCCAAGAAGTGTCCTCTACGAAGTCATCTAGGGAAGCAAGACATGTTCCTAAAATTAGGGTGACACGAAAAGACCCAGGGCCTGTGGGAGTGCTCCCTCTCTGTTAACTAGCTGTCCTCACTATGGCCGCTTCTCTAGGTCCTGGTTCCAGAGCAGCACACACCTGCTGAGTGGTCTGCAGGAGCGTTGCCACTTCCCAGGCCTGTCCCTGTCATAGGCTTAGCAGCCTTGATTTTCTCTGTTCCTGTCTGTGCCCACGCTCTGACAAGCCCCTGATCATCCTGGGTGTCCCCTCCTGGACACTTGGCTGTTTGCTGATGTGCCCTTTCCTCCTTGGTGGCCCTGAGTGGCCCAAGTGTGCATGATCTGAGGGCTCTGATCACAGACCCAACCAGGAGGGCAGGGGCGTCCGGTGGGCTGGGCTGCAGCTATCAGGGCGCCGTGTCTTCTCCCCCAGAGAGCCATCCGTGTGCGCAGCCACTCCATGGAGACCATGGTGAGCAGCCAGAAGAAGCAGCACAGCGCGGGCATCCCCGGCAGCCTCAGTGGGGGCATCTCCCACAACAGCATGGACGTCACCAAGACCACCTTCTCGGTGAGCGCCCCAGCCCCTGGGCAGCGCACGGTTCCTGGGCAGGGCCCCCCACCCCCACCAGGCCCGTGAAGGCTGGTGCATCCACCCAGGCTTGGGCCAGGTGACCTGAGCAGGAACGGGGGACATTGAGGCTGTTTGGGGGTGACCCCGGGCCCTGCCTGTGAAATGGAGCCTCCGTCCCAGGTACAGCTAGGGCTGACCCGGACCGCAAGCCTTCCCGTTACCCTGTTCTCCAGAAGGCGGCTCTGCTCTCACTGTACCACCAGCTCTCCATCATCCTGTTCTCCTCATTCCCTCGGCGACTGGGCCTCTTCCTCAGGGCCCACCCTGCAGAATCATTTTGGGGCACTTTTCTCTGGCCAGGGGCTGGGGACGCAGGAGGGGTGTCCTTGCTTTGTTATTAATGATGACAGTAGACTCCCTTGGCTTGCTGTGCCCTGGGGACTGAACTAAGTGATTCTTGGGCCTTGCCTCATCCGATCCCTGTAACAACTATTCGAGGCAGGAATTGATGTGTTCTGCATTTCAAACTTGAGGAAGGGAGGCCTAGAGGGGTTTAGTAACCTGCCACAGGTCACCGAGCTAAGCCGAAAAGCTGGGGTTTGAGTGCATGTCTCCCTGATCCAAAGTCTTTGCTGTTAATCGCTGTGTACGCAGTTCCCAGGGGAAGAGCCTGGTGTGTCTGTGGGCTTGGGTCTGGTCTGTTTGCACCAGGGACTGGCCAGGTGAAAGAACTACGTAATTGGTCCTTTTAAAAAGCAAAGTGACTTTGGATTCGGATAGAGTAGGGCTTTCTCTTCTCTTCTCTTCTCTTCTCTTCTCTTCTCTTCTCTTCTCTTCTCTTCTCTTCTCTTCTCTTCTCTTCTCTTCTCTTCTCTTCTCTCCCCTCCCGTCCCCTCCCCTCCCCTCCCCTCCCCTCCCCTCTTGCCTCTTCCCTTCTTCCCCTCCCCTTCCCCTCGTCTCCTCTCCTCTTCCCTCCCCCTCCTCCTGCCCCTCCCCCTTCTTTCCAGATAGATACCCACTATGATACTAAGGATTGGCACTATAAGTGGTCTTACATAATTCATTTAACTTACCAAATATTTCATACTGTTGTCTGTTCCACCCAGAAGGTCTGTGAAGTGGGCAGGGCAGGACAGTCACCCCCATTATGTGGGAGAGGAGACTGGGGCCCAGAGAGCTTGGCCACTCACCCAAGGTTGCACAGCACACAAGTGGCAGAAGTTGGGGCCTGGGTTGGAGGTCTAAGGGCTCTCAAGGATGTCTGCAGTCCCCCCTCCTCAATCTCCCACCCCTTGCTCCTGCCCCCTGCACGTGGCTGAAGCAGAGCCATGTTCTGGGTGGGTTCCCCGCCTGCGGGTGCATGTGGACCCGACTCTGCCGCTCTCATTCTGTCTTATTGCCGAGATGCCCAGCTTGGCCCGGTTATTGTGAGGAGCGGATGGAGAGTCAGAGCCTGGGCTCTTGTCCTTGTCCTGACATGATTTGCTGTGTGACCTTAGCACAGTCCCCTCGCCCCTACTCCTCAGCTTCCTCACCAGTAAAGCTGGCAGTTGGACCAGGTCACCCCCAGGCTCTCTCAGCTTTCTGGTTCTCAGTGTGTGACCCCGTGAATCATCCTGACCTTCTCAATATGCTGGGCTCTCCTTACCGTGGCTCTGATCCCTGGTTCCTCCAGGAATCTGGTCTTTGGTGATTCTTACCTGGGGCCACAAGGTTTGGCTTAAGAACACAGGACAATGGGCTGCAAATGGCTTGAGTTGTGGGGTCTCAGCTCCTGCTATGGCGGCCTCGCCTTCCCAGCAGTCTCACTGTTTGTGGGATCCAGGCTGGTTGGGGGCACAGGCTATTTGTAGACCAGAAATGGGTGGTGAAGGGAAGGACACCGGGGTCGGGGCGGGCCACAAACACTCATTTTGGTGGTTTCATCGGCAGCCTCCAGTGGCGACGGCGGCAGCAGCGAAGAACCAGTCGCGGAGCCCCATCAAGCGGCGCTCGGGGCTCTTCCCCCGTCTGCACACAGGCTCTGAAGGCCAAGGCGACGGCCGGACACGATGGTAACTGTCCAGTGCGGGTTTGAGGGTCCTTCCAGCATGGCAGCTGCCAGATGCCCAGCCTCGGGGCGGTGGTAGGGGAGGCTCTGTGCTGCTTTGGGAGACGATGTCCTTCTAACCTTGGTCCCTACTTCAGGCACCTGTCTCACTCCACTCTGTCCACCAAGGCAGATTTGGCCAGTCTCTGTGCGGGACTTTCCAGAATTGTCCGTGTCATATTTGGACCCAAACTAGAAACGTTGCTTGGATTCTTTTCTTTCTTTGCCTCCTTTTCCAAAGCTCACTCAAATGTTCCCTCTTACAGAAGGCTTCCCTGATTCTGCCAAGACAGTGAATTAACTTTCCTTAGGCTTCTAGAATGTTTTCTCTCTTTTTGAAAGCAGCTTTCTTACTGCACTGTGTTAACCTGTTCTTGCTCATTGTCTTTCTGATCCTTTAATGGTGAACCATTTGACCTTTAATTCAGCAAGCACACGTCTTGCTACGTGCTGGGGTGAGTGCTCGGGCAAGAGCGACGGGAGGCACAAACCTGCCTTCCAGAAGCTTACAGTCTTGCGAGGGAGAGGGAGGCATTTAGGTTGACTTCCAGGTTTCCAGGTTGTCTGCCTGCCGCCGCGGATGGGCGCGCCAGGCCCCGAGCTGGGGCGTGCAGGGTGAGGGGTGGGTTTACGGAGAGGGATGAAAACCTCCGGAACCAGTACATGTGAGAGTCCTTGCGGCCCCGGCAGAGACATGCAGAATTGTGAGTGGCCAGAATGCAGGTCTTAAGTTTAGGAGAGAGGCCTTGACCGCAGCAGGGAGTCAAAGACAGATCAGTGAATACGACCACTCAAGGGGGTGTGTAGAATGCCTGGGGGACACCAGCACTGAGGGGCAAGGGAAGAAAAGGAGGGAAGATGAGGGAGGGAAAGCTCGAGGAGGAGGAATTCCAGGATGGAGAGTCAGCAGTGTCAACGTGCAGAGAAGCCCTGCACCGTGACCCAAACCCCTGCTTGGGTGGACAATGAGGAGGTCATTAGCACCCTCATTAACAGTGCATTGAGGCATTCGTGCTTCTCGGTGGCTATAATCAAAGAGACATAATAAGCAGTGTTGGAGAGGACGTGGAGAGATTAGAATCCCCAGGCACTGCTGGTAGGACCGCAAACTAATGCACCTGCTTTGCAAAGCAGCTTGGCAGCTCTTCAGAGAGTTAAACATGGAGTTACCATATGACCCGGCAGTTCCAGATGTTCCTGGCAGCATTATTCGTAATAGCCCAAGGTGGATAATTAAAATGTGGTGTAGCCATCAAATGGGTTTTTTTTTTTTTTTTTTTTTTTGCCGTGAAAAGGAGTGAATCACTGATAGATGCTGCAACTTAGTTGAACCTTGAAAAGACTATGCTAAGGGAAAGAAGCCAGTCACCAAACACCACAACACATTGTGTGATTCCGACTAAGTGACATGTCCGGGAGAAGCAAATCCATAGAAACAGAAAGTAGATTAGTTGGTCGCCAGGGGCTGGGGAGGGAGAGACAGGGAGTTATTAGGAATGGGATTGGAGTTTCTTTATAGGGGTCTAAAATGTTCTAAAATTAGATCATGGTGATGGCTGTACAAGTGTGAATATGCTAAAAACCACTGAATTACAAACTTTACATGGGTCAATTATTATATGTGGATTGTATCTCAGTAAAGTTGCTATAAAAATAGAAGTGCCCTGAGGACAAGGCTGGCTTGTCTCCATTAGGGGGCACAGGACAAATTGTGTATGTCAGTACGTGGTCTTTGTTAAACTACAGAAGAAGAATGCCCTTGGTCCCTTGGCCGAGAGTAGCCTGTTTACCAAGATGCCCTTTCCCAGCATAAAAGGTGGCCTTTCACACGGATCCGGGGAGCTCATATTGTGGTCTGTATAGAGAGTGGCCCCTGGACTTAGGCACAGTCCCCTGCCTGCACCGCCAAGGAGTCCAAGTGCACTGGGTTGTGTCCTTGCTGTGGGAGTGGATGTCATAGGCCTCACGCCATCCCCACTGTGGCCTGCTCTTGACTTAGAGCTCTGCCGGGGGGATGGTCAGCATAGGTGGAGAGTGGACTTGGGCTCAGGAGCATCAAGCGAGGACTCTTGCTTGATAGGTCTTGGCTCATGCAGGCGCCTAGAATAGCGCCTGAAGCAGCCAAAAACCCCATTGTCCCCTGCTGTCTGAGTGGGGCTCAGGGAGGCGGTGGCCATGCGCTGGTAGGCGTGCTGTGACCCCACAGGCCCGGTGGCGCTGACAGCCTGCTGGGGCTGTCTCAGCCTGGGGGTGGGACGGAGGCTTAGGGGCCGGCCCCGTGGCTTCACACCTTCTTGTTCCTGTTTCCTTAGTGACAGTGCATCCAGCAACCCCAAGACCCCGGAGGGTGCACACTCTTCTCAAGAGATAAAGTCTGAGGCCTCATCCAATCCCAGCTCTCCGGAAATCTGCCCCAACAAGGAGAAGTAAGAGAGTGAGGGTGGGAGGAGGGCTGGCGTTAGCCACTCGGACGGAGCCCTGGGATGGAGCCCTGGAATATGCCGTCTGTGGAGAGGCAGCAGTTTTGCCTTGAGGACTCTCTGGAAACATGAAAGGCAACAGGCAGCGGCATGGGGAGCCGCTGGTGGGCCGGCTCAGTCTCCGCTAGGTCTGCCCTGCCTGTGAAGGGGGTCTCGGTGAGTGACCGGGGCCCGCCCTACTCCTGTTCCCACAGGCCCTTCATAAAGTTGAAAGAGAATGGCCGAGCCAACATCTCCCGCTCCTCCTCCAGCACCAGCAGCTTCAGCAGCACGGCGGGGGAGGGAGAGGCCATGGAGGAATGTGACAGCGGGGTAGGCGTGGCTCCGTCCGACCCTGGGGAGCAGGGAGGGGTGCCCTGGGCCCAGCCAGACACCTGCAATATGTATTAAACTAGCTGCTGTGGCAAGAGCCCCAGCCAGAGTCTGCGGGTGAAAGGGGAGGTAGGGAAGTGAGGGGTGGGCCAGTCAGCCGTCTCTGCTCTCCGGGAGCAGTGGCTCAGGGGGCCTCCCTCAGAGTGACACAAGGCCAGCAGTAGAGGGCCGGAGGCCACATTGAACTGTGTCCCTGCCGTGGGGTTCCCGGCTGGAGAGGAGAGGGCCAGTGCTCCCTGTGGCTGGGTCACAGGCACTTTTTGGGGCAGGGTCAGAAGAGGCAGAAAGAGCAGGTCCAAGTATACAGTGGGAGGCAGGGACTGCACTGAGCTTGCTGGAACCTGTGTCAGGCCTGCCACGGCACGGGCCACCCTGTGGGGCGGCCAGGGGTGGAGCTGGCCCTGCTCACCCAGCCTCTCTCCCCAGAGCAGCCAGCCGTCCACAACCTCACCCTTCAAGCAGGAGGTGTTTGTCTACAGCCCGACCCCGAGCAGCGAAAGCCCCAGCCTGGGGGCGGCTGCCACCCCCATCATCATGAGCCGGAGTCCTACAGGTCAGTGACGTCTGGGCATGTGCACCCTAGGGCCGACGGGAGGGGGCAGGGTTGTGCCCTGACCACTGTTCGTGGGCGTCAGCCTCAGCCACGCTGAATCAGGCAGTTTCTGCTCTGGCCCCAAAGGGTCAGCCCTTGAGCTCTGCTAGCCTGCTCCATCAGCCTTAAGACTCCTGTGTTCCTGTCGTCACCTTACTTGTGGGGAAACTGAGGCTCCGAAAGTGCAATGATTTGGTGCAGAAGTTGGGATTTGAAAGCCGAGGCTCTTCTGCCCCACCCGTCACTGATGCTGGGTGCCTGTGCCACGCTGGTGACCTTGACAACGCAAGGGTACAAAGCGGGACGAGTGTGGCGGGTGGAGGGGACCGCATGCGGTTCCTTGGGCTGCAGCCCATCTCAAGGACAGATGTGAGAGGAGACGGCACGTGGGGTGCCAGGCTGGGCTGCCGTGCAGACCCTGGCCAGGAGCTGGCTGTCCTGCTGGCGAGGGGAGCCTTGGACGGTCTTAGGTAGAGCAGTGCTTCTGGACCAGGGAAGGACTCTTCCGGTGGCCGCAGCTGGCTGAGGAGAAGGGATCAATGGGGAGGGGTGCAGGGAGGGAGATCAGCAAGGGGTCGTGGTGGGCAGTGCGGGGTGGCTGGGCTGTGGATCAGGGGGTGCCTGGAGCAATGGGAGAAGGATGTAGATCCAGGAGATGTCAGGGAGGCTCAGTAGCAGGGCTTCAGGGAGAGCAAAGAGCCTGGGCCTTTGGGGGTCTGTGATCCCTGCAATCAGGCAGAGCAGGAGGTGGCCCCTCTGGGGAGGGATGAAGGGCTGGAGCCCGAGGGGATGGTCATCCGAGGGGACGTGCATGGTAGGCACTGCAGGGCACTGCTGGTGCCAGAAATCTGCTGCTGGTGTCCGGCCCTCGAGGAGGGCAGCGTGGTGTGGGGACAGGTGCAGGACTGTGGAGCTTGGCTCCAGATCCTTGCTCTACCAGTTACTAGTGATGTGACATCGGGCAGGTTAGTGAACCTTTCCGTGCCTCAGTTTCCCCAAGCAAAGAATGGAGGGAGCAAGTAGTTCCTGCTTCCTCTGGCTGGTTGTGTGAACATTAGATGAGCCTAGAGAGTCAGAACTTAGACCCATTGGGCACCTGGGTGGCTCAGTTGGTTGGTCTGACTCCTGAATTTGACCCACGTCACGATCTCATGATTCAGAAATTCAGCCCCATGTCGGGCTCCACGCTGATGGCACGGAGCCTGCTTGGGATTCTGTTTCTCCCTCTCTTCCCCTTCCCGACCCGTGCTTGCTCTTGCGCTCTCTCTCAAAATAAACTAATAAACCTAATAAACAGAAAACAATTAAAAAGAAAAGAACTGTTAACCTAAATGTTTGTTAAATAACAGGAATAAACAATAGTAAGCGGTGCTCGACAGGGGGCACCCTTGCTTCCCACGGCATATTTGACAATATTGAGACAGTTCTGATTTTCAGGATTGTGGGAGGAGAGTGTGCTGCTAGTGAGTAGAGGTCAGGGATGCTGCAGGGCAGCTCCCGCCCTCCCCAACAGAGAATTATCTGGCCCCAAATGTCAATGAGCTGAGGCTGAGAAACTCTAGTCAAACGATAGAAACACGGAAAGAGCTGGTTCATGCGCCTCCTCTCGTTCAACCCCCTGTGCTGGGCCACTGCAGAGCCGGGTTCTAATCCTGGTTGTGGCCTCAGGTCCACCTCTCTGAGCCTCAGTTTCCTCATCTGTAAAGTGGATAGTAATACAGATTCCCTGATTTTTAAAAAATAAGGCTTAATGAAATATTGAAGGAATGAATGAAAGAATCTATAAACAAGCCTGGCTCCAACCTGGTATTAAATAAATATCTAAATAAAATTTTGAGTAACGAGAGGCTTAGAGAGTGTCTGCTACTTGCTGAAGGTCACCCGGGGCAGAAGGGGACCTCAAGTGGGCCTGGTAACTCCATCCCATCTTATTGCACCTCACCACATGCTTCCCTCAACCCCCTTTCCCTGCGCGTTATTTAACCTCAGGGCCACTTCCTACTCCCAGCCTTGCAGAAGTTGAGCTGGGTGCCTCTAGGACCAGCATCAGTTTGCAGAGATCTGGAAACCTGTTTTAAGCTGTTTGGCTGTGCTTGGGGAGAGACGGGGCCTAGTGGAGGGAGGTGTCTTGGAGGGCCGGACTTCAGGCTTCCGTAGTCTCTGATGCCCCAACCATTCAGGTCACACCTGGGCTCCCTGGGACCTGAGAGGGGATTGGCAGGTCGTACTGGGAGACTCACAGTGCTGGGTGGGACCCCTTGATTCGAAGCACCAGAAATAAGTCAGCAGCCTCTGAGTGGAGAGTACTGATGTGCAGAGTCCTTGGGCCAGAGGAAAACCCGAAAGCCAGTGGCCCCCCCTGCTGGTGGTGTGCTGGGAAATGTTCAACAACTGGCTCTCCTGCTGTACACACACACACACACACACACACACACACACACACTCACATTTACTATAAATTTTACTGATACAGAGGGTCTGAAGCACACAATTTATAAAAAGTAATCTTTGTTATAAATCCCATATTCTTATTGATATTTGTCTGACCTTGTTATTTGTAGGCAACTGAAAGTTGCTGATGAACAACAAGTATAACTCTGACATGAATGATGATTGATATTTTGTCAGTGACACAAGCAGCCTCTTTGCTGAATCAGACACCAGTTTTCAAATACTCATTTTTTGGTGCTGGTCATAATGTGATGGCTACAGACACAATGCATTTTCAAATTTTCTTGATGTTTTTAACATCTTCACAGTTTAAGCCCAGATAACAACACAATAAGTCAAGCCCTGGGTTTGTGGCGTTGCTGATTTCCATGTGTAAATGCCCCTGCCGTGGCTAATCTCAGGCTCAAAGGCAAGGGAATCAAGAGCAAAAATGAACTACTGGGACCTCATCAAGATAAAAAGCTTCTGCACGGCAAAGGGAACAATCCATAAAACTAATAGGCAGTTGACAGAATGAGAAAACATAGTTACAAATGACATATCAGATAAAGGGCTAGTATCCAAAATCTATAAGGAACTCACCAAACTCCACACCCAAAAAACAAATAATCCAGTGAAGAAATGGGCAGAAGACATGAACAGGCACTTCTCCAAAGAGGACATCCAAATGGCCAACAGACACATGAAACGATGCTCAGCGTCCCTCCTCATCAGGGAAATACAAATCAAAACCACACTGAGATACCACCTCACACTGGTCAGAGTGGCTAAAATGAACAAATCAGGAGACTATAGATCCTGGCGAGGATGTGGAGAAACGGGCACCCTCCTACACTGTTGGTGGGAATGTAAACTGGTGCAGCCCCTCTGGAAAACAGTGTGGAGATTCCTCAAAAAATTAACAACAGAACTCCCCTATGACCCAGCAATAGCACTGCTAGGAATTTACCCAAGGGATACAGGAGTGCTGATGCATAGGGGCACATGTACCCCAATGTTCATAGCAGCACTCTCCACAATAGCCAAAACACGGAAAGAGCCTAAGTGTCCATCAACTGATGAATAGATCAAGAAGATGCGGTATATTTATACAGTGGAATATACATGGCAATGAGCAAGAGTGAAATCTGGCCATGTGTAGCAACATGGATGGAACTTGAGGATGTCATGCTGAACGAAATAAGTCAGGCAGAGAAGGACAGATACCATATGTTTGCACATATAGGTGGATTAGGAGGAAGTTAATGGAGGACCATGCGGGAGAAGAAGGGGAAAAATAGTTGGGGAGAGGGAGGGAGGCAAACCATGAGAGACTCTTGAATGCTGAGAACAAACTGAGGGCAGATGGGGGTGGAGGGAGGGGAAAGGGGGGTGATAGGCATGGGAGAGGGCACTTGTTGGGATGAGCCCTGGGTGTTATATGTAAACCAACTTGACAATAAACTATTTAAGGGAAAAAAACCTCCCCAAAAACAAAGTGATAATCATGAACAGAAAAAAAAGTGTTTGTTACTTTTTGAGAGGGGGAGGGGCAGAGAGAGAGGGAGACAGAATCCCAAGCAGGCCTCGTGTGCTCAGTGCAGCGCCCCATGTGAAGCTCGAGCTCAGGAACAGGGCGATTTTGACCTGAGTCAAAACCAAGAGTCTGGTTCTTAACCGACTGAGTCACCAGGTGCCCCTATTTATTACCTTTGTTGAATATAATTTATGGACTTGGAAGCTTATGTAATTTGTTTTTTTTTTTTTAACTGACCGGGTTTACCAACCAGCTCCCATTTCGGAAAATGTAAGAGTTGGCTTTGGCAAACTGCTGCAAGTCAGCTGGAGTGCTTAGGGGAGGGAGGAGGCCCTGCTCCTGCCCTCCCTTGTACGGCACCCCTGCCCCAAACACACAGCCCTAATGACCACTACAGCCTCACTCTCTTTTCACGGGCACTTCTGTTTCTCCTAGATACCAAAAGCAGAAACTCCCCGAGGTCAAACCTGAAATTCCGCTTTGATAAGCTCAGCCATGCCAGCTCTAGTGCGGTAAGAATCTAGGGGAGTAAGGGTAGTGGGCAGAGCCTCCCACTTCCCACGTTTCAGCCTCCTCCAAAACTCAGCTGTCCTTCCTGGGGCCCGAGGAAGGGGGTGCCTCACCCATCACACTGTGGGAGGAAAACTCTGATCTGATCTGATCTGATCTGGGGGTGACGCTGACGTCCCTGCATCAGCCTAAGGGGTGCCAGCCACCTCTGCCACACCTCCTGTGTTAGAGTCACACCCTTGGACACACAGGTGTGAGCCGGAAACACATGTCCCTTCCTGAGCTCACCAGGGAGTTGAGGGCTGACTGCACAGAAGCTGTAGATTACGTTGTCTCGGTACTTACAAGTCTTGTGTGGGTTTTTCTTGAAACAGGGTCACTAATGGGAAAGAGGATTCCTTCGCTTGTCAAAGGTGGGTTGTGTGTTTGTCCTGCGTTGGCCATGAGGCAAAGTGTGTCTGCTTTAAGGCCAGGGAACTAGTGGCCTAGTAACCTGTGAATGGCCAGAGACATCCTGACAGCTGGGGAGGGCTGGTCGCCTCTTCCCCGAAGCCTCTGTGGTGGCGCTCAGGTCCGGATGGCGAGGACTGCAGGTGGCCTCGGTGTGGCTGGGGAGGGTGTCCTGGTAGGAGTGGGCCAGGCTCCCTGAGTTGTCTCCGTGCCCTGGGAGGTGCCTGGTTCCAGCAGGCAGAAGACATGCAGCCCAGAGCGGGTCCCCTCCCCTGGAGGGGGAGTCTGCAATTTGCCCCCCTTGCCTCCCTGTTCTTGGCAGTCTTTCCCTCCTTGTGTCTTTGGACAGGGCCCTGGGCTGAAATGTGTCCCCCCCAGTCATGTTTAGAGGTGCCCCAGGCCCCTAAACACTGTGCTGGAGACCTCAGGGAGGACTTCCGTTCCCAGCCTCAGCTGAGGGAGTGTGTGGTTTTCAGCAGAGCAGGGCACGGGTCCAGCTTGACACTGCTGAGGCCCGACCTCCTGCTGGGAAAGTTACTGGAGACCCATTTGAGTTCCCAACCCTCCCCCTGCCATGGGACTCTGGGGGTGTGAGTCGCAGATGGAACCAAGGTGGGGAGGGGGGGCACAGCTCCGCCCACTTTATATAAGCCTGATCTATGAAAAGGCAGAAGAGACCGTGGGAATTCTGACGCTCGTCTCCACCCCTCGTTGTGTACGTCGGAGGTGTCTCCTCACCAAGTCTGTGATTGTGCCCAACTTCTCCGGCTGCATAACGTCCGGCACCCTTGCGTTTGGCCGTTCTGTCAGGCGCGTTCAGTAGGCTGTTGCCTCAGGGCGCGTGATCTCCTCTTCCTTACCCACCGTTTGGTCATCATCTCCCTCCTTGTCTCCTCCAGGGAAGCCCTGATTCAGTCTTGGAGAAGGCTCCTGTTCCAGCACTTTGGGGGTGCCATCCACTACTCACAGGCCTGCTGCCGCGCCGGCCCCCTGCCCACCAGACCAGTTATCTGTGCCAGTGTCCCGATCCGGCCACGGTCCTGCCTGTCCCCCTTGCCAAGGCACCCTGGAAGCACTTCTCCTTCTCTGGACAAGGCCTCGTTCCTCCAGGGCCCCCCTGCGCCTGACCGTCCCGTGTGATGTGTGTCTGGGTCCTTTGTCATCTTGTTTTGTCCATAGAGGAAACAGTTGGGCGGGGGGTGGGGGGGACGTGGGTCCTAGAGACTCAGTCAGAGACAGGAGAGGCAGAGAGAGTGGTGAGGCGGGGGGCGGAGGCCTCCAGTGGGACGCGGCACCCGGGGTGGGGTGGCACGGTGTCCTGGATGTGGCAGGCACAGGGAATACATGTAGTGCTGGCGGAGGGACCACTTTCCCAGGGACAGAGATTTGTAGGCACCCTCCAAGATGTCCTGATAGAAACCGGCTGTGTTGCCCCCACGGCCGTGTGCTTCTGTGCTAGGAATGTCTTCCTTGCCCACCTGCTGACACAGGCCCAGTGCCACCTCTGTCCCTTGTGCCGGCACTGAGCCGAGACCCAGCCGAGTGCGTGTGAGGCGCTCTTCGTCAGCACACCTGGTGGTCGTTGCTGTGGGAGAAGCAAGCCTGCTCATCTCTCCGCTCCAAGCAGGTGTTTTCCCCAAGACGGGGCGGGCAGCCGGAGCGGACTGGATTTGGGGAGAGCCAGCCAGCGAGCCGCGCCCCGGGGCCTGGGCTGCAGAGACCCCTGGGGCCTCGGGCTGTGCTGGGCTGTGCTGCGCCGTGGGTCCCAGCCGACTGTAGAGGCTCGTAGAAGAGTTACTGCAGCCCACCACCCGGGCAGGGCTGGGGAGGCCAGGCCTGTGTGTGGGCATGGAATGTAGGTGTGCGGGAAGGGGCCACATCCTTCTGCAGTGTGTGCTTCTGGCATCTGCGGGGGGGGGGGGGGGGGAGGCCGGTGCTACCTAGGGGGCTCTTTCCAGCTGCTGTGCCCTCAGGCCATGTTGGCACTTGGTCCCCCAGCCTTCTTCTTCAATCCTGCCTCTGTAGGCAGTGGTCACATCGCTGGGGTTTTCACAACCTGGACCCCAGCCGGGTGCGGTTCAGATGCCGCCTGCCCGCCCCCCCCCCCCCCGGGCAGAGCCAGTCCACTCTCAGGAGTCGCCCCGTAGTCGTGCTTCTTGCCCTTCCCCGTCTGTAGTGTGAAAGGTCATTTCCGCTGACGGGCCCGGTGGGAGTTATGGTGGGGTGTCAAGTAAAACATGGGGTCTGGGTAGCAGAACCTCGGAGGTGCCACATCTTCAAGTGCACGCAGGGCCTCTGTGACACGGGACAGCCACGGTGACTCAGGCTGGCCTCCTACTTTAAGGAGCAGATGACAAGGATTTCTACCAGATGTTTTATTTGCATTGGGTTCTGGGCCCATTCCCAAGTCAAAGCAACCCCAAGTCAATGTTCTACTTGTTTTTGACCGATGTGACAATTTCCCTGTTGCCTTTGCCATCAGAGCAAAACCTTGGCCCTTCGTCTCTCACTCACGTGGACGCTGTGGTGTCCTATTCGCAGGCTGGGTAGACCTCTCCCTTCACACTATTTGGGAAATGTGTTTATTTAAAGTACTAGTCCGCTGAAATTTCTTCTAGTGAGAAGGTCAACACATGTCTGTGTAGCTTTTATTGAAAATCACCGGAGCGGCCCCGCTGCTGGCACGAGGTCTGCGGACCCTGGCAGCGTGCTGTTGGCTGAGTTTCTGAAGGATCTTGAAAGGTCAAGCTGCATTTAAAAAAAAAAAAGATTCCAGGTTCCCACTTGCTTCTCTGGGTAGCTGGTATTTACAGTTGCTTGGTTGTTGTGCTGTGTTGTGTTGTGATCTGGGGTCCCCTGGAGTTTCCAGGTTGTCCACACGCTGTCCTGCCTGGGGACCTCACACCCGCCTCCCTCCAGTGCTCTCGCTGCTGCTCCCGCAAGCCCCCGCCACCTGGGGAGGGCCTGTCCCTGCCTCTGAGCCAGTGGCCAGGATGGTGGGCCGTGTCCAGGGAAACTGAGAGGCACGGGGGTGCTCCCTACGAAGCAGGCCTGAGAGGTGGTTCTCCACAAAATTTTGCTGCTGGGGTTACATTGGGCTGGATCTGAAATGTCCCTCCCTCTGGGTCCTGTCTTACCCTCCCTAGAAAGCTCATCCTGTGGCTTCTAGAGTATATGTGACCAGCCCCCCTATATCCTGGGGCTGAGGGGGAGGAGGGCAGGGAGTGGGCAGTCTTACCTCACCCCCTTGACCATGGGGCAGGCGGCTTGGGTTCCTGGAGGCTCCTCCCCCATATTCTCCTGCATCTGTTCTGGCCCCAAACTTCCTTTACTTGCTGCGCCCATTCTTGGGGCTCAAAGATTTGCTCAAGTCTCCTCGGTCCCTGTGACCAGACTCATTCTGACGGTGCTCATGCTGGTATTTGAGGCGCTCTGCTTGTGACCTGGACACAGGAGGAGTGTTTCCTGGACATGTATCTGCCTCTGGGAACTGCCTGACTCATGGAGGAAACAATGCTTGTCAGGCTCTTTAGGGTACCCATTAGCTTCTACTCAGTTGCTGCTTAAAAACAGAGGCAGAAAGGACTTGAGAGAGAAAATCTTAGCTAGAGTTTCTAATGAATGGAAAATGATGAATGAATGAAAAATGAGTGGAAAATACCCTGTGGTTCAGCCTTGTTGGCATCATCTCAGTGTCCCAGACATCCGGGCCCCTTTTGATATCTAATCCATCCAGATTATCGTCCCGCTGAGAAACCTCAGCTCCAGTGGGGAAATAACTCAGTGGAGGTCACGACCAGCGAGTGGCAAAGCTGGGACTAGAACCCACAACCCAGGGCCTTTTGTCTGCTCCACCTACATGGTCGCTTCAACAAGTGGCTGCGTTTGCCGGAGCCCTGAGTGTTGGAGAAGCCTCGCTGGTGCCGGAGCACTGGTTGGGAGCTGTCCGCAGTCAAGGTGGGGCCTCAGTCTCTGTTCTTTTCAACAGGAGGGATAGTCTCTCAGTGTTTCAGTGAGGGCCCTGGGGTTTTGGATGCAGCTTGAGCAGAGAAAATGAGGAGGGCAAGAGATTTTAGTGGACTATTCCGGGTAACATCAGTTCTTCAACCCCGCCCTGTAGTGGGGGTGGAGGCCAGGGCAGAGATGCAGTTAACTAACTAAACCCCCTCTTAAGTTAAGAAAAGTGGCAAGAGAAAACTGCTGTTCTCCCTGATCCTTAACGGTGGTTAGTAAAAAGGTAGGCTCATGTGACGAGGTGGGATGAGAGCCACCGTCGCTTTCTTCCCCTGGCTGTTCAAGGTGCCAGTGCAAACACTACCTTCTTCATTTCATTGTGAGTCCACAGAGACTGGTCATCGTGGGGGATGGTCAGGGGTCAAGTAGGTGGCTGGCTGGGACCCAGCCATCCAGCCATGCCTGGGACCCCACGGCTTCTCCCCAGATCCCTTGCTCTCTTTCTCAAAGGTGAGAGTGGGTCAGTGGAGTTTGCCAAGGCTGCCAAGGAGCATTCTGTAAGCTCTGCTATCTGTTTTACCACTAGCCCCTTACCCGTCCCAACCCCACATCTCCTTCCCTTCAGCTGGGCCATCTGCCCCTTTGGGAGGAAGGAGACCAACCCCACTAGGGCCGAGGACAGTGGGGCCCTGCCTAGTGAGAGGCTGTTGGGGCAGTGGCTCTGTCCTGTGCCTTACCAGCCCTAGAGAGAGGGTGTTTGTCTGGAAGACTGGAATTTAAATGCCATCATCTTTGATTTTGTGATATTTCTGCTTGGAACAGTCAGTTCCTCCTTCCCACTCCTTAGCATGTATGCCAACTCTCCCCTGTCCTGGGTGTCCCCCTTCCACGCTCCAGCCTGGGGAGTGCTGATGTTCTAGTGTGAAGAGATCCCTTTGTGTGATAGAACCTAAGAAGTGTAGCTTGGAAATGATGATCCATGTGATGATGACTTTTCTTTCTTTCCTCTTCTTGAGGAGGTGATTCGTAGACCCCGACTGCCTATGTAATGTAAATAATGTACATTTAATTTATTGCTATGGTAGCACATTGTATTTGTTAATGTATAAAACAAATTCTAAAAGGTTGACAAATGTATATTTTGTTGCTTAAATGTGTCTTTGCAGAAATTGACAATAAATAACATATTTTGTGTCCATCATTGTTCAGACTTCTTTGCCTGGGGCCCTGAGCCCTGGGCATCATCGTTCATCAGAGCCTGAAGACTGGCAGCCCGTGGGCCATACGTGGCCTGTAGATGTGTTAGTTTGGCCTGAAAAGTGTTTTTAAAATACTTGAATTCGTTGCCAATGTTTAGAAAATAATTGATGTTTAGACCACAATTAAAATGAAAAAGCAAAAAACGCAACCTAGAAATTTCATATAAAATCTGAATTTTCTGCTTCTCTTAAAAACAGATGTTGGATCTTCTTAGGAGTGACGCAAATTAGTCAGCACTCCCTAGCAGCTACCCCTTTGGTGACACCTGAGTCACTGCAGTCCCCCCCGCCCCCCATTCTCTATTGTTTACACCTGGAACATTCCATTCATCCCTGTTGTTTGCTTGGCCCCTGTAGGCATCCGAGTTTGAGACCCCTGATATCCACTGACTTGTCTCCATTCTACAATTTTCTTCCTTCTGCCCACTATTTTTCCACAGTCCCAATTTACCTCTTCGAGGATTCTTTTATGATTAAATGCCCTCTCTCCTGTCCACCTTTGACTCCCAAATGGCCATGCTCTTATGTACGTTTTGCTCTCGTGTTTGGATATAGGCTTAGAAGTAATATCTGTATTTTTTGTTTCTTAAGAAATTTGAAGGCAGGGAACAGGTCTTTTTTCTGTTGGGACTTGCTTGTGTGATCTTGGGCAAGTGCCCTCTCTGGGTTTACATTTTCATTTGTGTCCAATCAGAAAAATAATCCACAAGCAAAGCATGAGGATAAAGTCCATTCATGTGGAGAAAGAAGTTTGAAAAAACGGCAAGTGTTATTCAAGCACGAGATTTAATCATTATTATTATGATCTCAGTAGATGACTCACTGGATGCTTACCGTGAGCTGAGTGTTTTACATGTGCCCTCAGTCCTCTGACATGC